AAACCTAAAATGGCTGAACAGAAAAATGCCAATTGCCCACTCTCCCTGTTGTGAGAGAGAAAAGAAAAGGCTGGATGTTTGGTTTGGTGGAGAGGGAGGGGAGGGGGGAGTGGTTTCCAGTTGATGCTACGGCTAAGCTAACAACATCGCTTACTGCACCTTTAAAGATCATGTAAAATAGAGCTTCGAAAGGTTATATGTGTGCCTTTTTCACTAACTTATAGGTGGTAGAATTGTACTGCAGCTGGGAGGGCAGGTGCTAATACAACTCTATAGGGATTACCTACCCCCCTGTATTGCAAATAAAAAAGCTCTAAACTGAGACTTTTGACAGTTACCATAGTTACCACCATATATTTTTCAGCTGCTCTCCACCATTTCGTTTGGTTATGTGCACACAAAAAAATGCTTATTACGTACCCTGTATCTCCACTTCTCCATTCACTGAGGTCCTTTGTCCTCAACTGATGAATCTGGACTTCTAAGCCTGAACTACATTAAAAGCCTAAAACATTTTGAAAAATATGTATCTACAACACTGCAAAAATAGAAAATAACACTGAATTATGACTTTTTGGAGGATGAAATGTGTCCATAATGTAAGTTTTCATACGTGCATTTAAACAAGCTAACTTAATCCACTGAAAATAAGAAAATATCTTGATTTACTTGAGTGAGGCCTTGTAATCATGAGCATCAGCAATACTAATAAAATAATAATTTGTGAGCGTATACTGTGTTATACATTATTTATATAGTAATATTCAATTCTTATTTGGGTCACAGCTTGGTGTTCCATGTGGATCCAGCACTGCTCCCCTTAAGAACCACTATAGATACAAATAATCATAATGTCTTTTTAAAGAAGAATTTAAGCTGTGTGTGTCTTAAATAATAGCGTAAGTATTTAACATATATTTTGAGCTCGAAATGAAAATAAATGAAGCTTAAAATATGCATTATTAAGTGTGAAATTGTGTGAAATTGTGTGAAATACAATTGTTAACTACTACTGTTTGCTTATCAACAAATAAAACGATCAAACATACTCTTATATTGTGTGTGTAAGTATTTTTATTTACTTATTTCTGACAATTCTCCTTTCTTCAGGCTTACATCTGTATTTTGCAGTTTCTATACCTTAAAAAAATAAACTTGTTTAGACCTATTTAGACCTATTTATATGTTTATCCTGTAATACATGAGAGCTGACAGAAATGCTCTGAAAAGGAACTTAAGCAACTACAGATACTACTCGGCAGTAGTATCTGTAGTTGCTTAAATTGCTTAATCTGCGGCACGGTGGCTGAGTGGATAGCACTGTCGCCTCTCAGCAAGAAGGTCCTGGGTTCGAATCCCGGTCGGACCAGGGCCTTTCTGACTGGAGTTTGCATGTTCTCCCCGTGTCTGCGTAGGTTTCCCCTACCGCTAAAAATATGTAAAATAGTTCTGGCATGCGCCTCCTGTACTGGCCCCGCTCCCATCTCTGTGTGGAGTGAGAGACAAATTGCCCAAAAAAAATAACAATTGTAAAACCGCTTTGATACTCAGCTCTGCAGTGAAAAGGCGGTATATAAATAATTACTTACTTACTTACTATATACAATACTTTTACTCTGGTAAAAGTGAAAATATTGAAATCAACCTTGTAAAAGAAGTACACATTGTATATGTACACATTTTGCATGTACTTATTTATGCGTTCCCTTTGAAACACTTTTTTACACTGGCAGAGATTATGAATAAAAACCAAATATTGTAGAATTCCTGAGTTTAGAAGCATTTGTAAATGTAAAGAAGATTAGAGAGTAAAAGTAAAATGTGGTTGTCAGAAAAAAGTAGAAAGTATAGTCAACTCTTGATAAAGAAAACAACATCCATTCCGTCTTGTGTCGGCCTTCGTGATCTCCACTAAAACCCATACAACAGTGCCCCCTACTGGTACCACTGAACCTAAATGAATCAGAAACAGGAATAAGAACACGGTAGAAGAGGAACTATTCATCAATTCTCTCTGGTGAAGCAAAGAGTACCATATCTACTCTTTATCTTATATTTAAATATAAAAATCAAGGCACTCTCATATTGGTTAATCATGTTTGTATTTTTTATAATCTTTATAAATGTATTCTTTATGGGATGTCTCCACAGAACTTACAGAGCCCTAATACATTTCAGTTTCAGTTTTTCATCAAAGAACAAAAGGAGCGCTCACAGAAACATGTGACGTCATACCATGGATCAACCAATGAGGCTTCTCCCCCTGTAGACTTGTCTAACTCATGGGCAATGGCTGCTAACAAACACAAGATGGCAGTGTGAAACATAACCCACACTGTGACAAACATATAAGGGTGAATACCAAAGAGAAAGGGTTAGCCTAACCCAATGAGGACATTGCATTTAAAGTGTTTTATGGATACATTTAGAAGCTTAATCTTTGGTTATTTTTGTTTGTGACTGTGCTGGGTTATGTTTTACTAACCTGGCAAGAGCCAGATTGATGATTGTGTAGAACTCTAACGCGTTCGAGTGTTTGTGAACTCACAAATACCGCGAGAATTCAGCTTGCAGGCAAGGTTAAAGAGTGACTAAACACCAAATCAACTTTTTTTAACTCATAAACTGCATAAATATGTTTATTGTAGTGCTGTCTACATATCCTGGTCATTTTTTTGACATTTTAGTTTAAATTAGATAAAATATCACTTTTGAGCCAAAAAAACGCTGTGTGGCGCCCTCTCAACCTTTTTGGTGGTACTACATTTGAATTTGGTTCTGGCCTCTCCATTGACTCTGAAGTTCTCTATGACATCAGTTGTTTTGTGTGACGTCAGTCTGTCAGAGCCAGTGATATAAACCCATTCAACTCTCACACACGCCCCAGCTGCAGTTTGGAGTATTCTGGCGCCATCTAGTGGATTAAAATTAAATTACATGAGTCATTCTGAGATTATTGAGTGTGATTAGGTTCAGGTGTGTAGCTTTACAATTATCTTAGTGTGTAAACAAGGGTGGAATGAGACTTTCTGGTCTGTAAACTATTGCTTTAAGCAGCAATGACAACTGTCTGTTTTTTTTTTTGTGTGACAAGTGAGCTGTCAATCACAGCCCAGACCACGCCCAACTCTAAGCCCCCCTTCTTGTCCCTTGGTCCTCCAGGCAACGCCCTTTTTAGAGAAAATTTTCAAATCTTCATGTGGGCGGAGTCAGGCTGGGCACAGGTGTTTAGTCGCTCTTTAATGTTTTACACTGCCACTGAGATTATATGAGAGTGCATTGTTTGTATTTCAGTGCAAAGGAACAAGATTATAGTAAATATTGCTGTTTGTTTCCTCGACCCAGTAAAGAACTCACCAGCGTTTGTTGGTAACATTACCCAAAAATGTACGTGAGAATTTGGACAGAAGTTTTGGGAAAAGCAGGCACAGCCCAACAATTACATTTGGGAGTTCATTTGAATTACAGTCTGGCCACAGTATTTTTTTTAAACGACCTCTTGGCAGCAGTTTGCACTCTACGAGTGCCTTTGTAGTCCCAGCACCATAAGGTATTCTAAAGAATCAGAAGAACATGCAGAGAAGTGACCAAGAATGGATTTATTCTCAGTCTGAAAAGTACTCAGTGCTTTTTTGTAAAATATTGTTGTTAAGATGAATTGCATCGAAACACAAAGTAAGCATTTGTCCCATAACAAAATATCCACAGCACATGGTTGTATGATTGTACAATATAAGAGAAAAAGCGCAAAGCCCCCTCCTTTCTTGATCCAAGTAACAATACAATCAGCTTGACTCAGCAGAAGATGGAAAAAGAATAAAAATAAACGTTGAAATGTCAGTGTCCTGCTTCGTGTTTTTTACTCAATGACACAACGTCGTCACATCCATTTGTTAGAAGTTTAATCATATCTAGAAAGACACCGAGGGTCCAGCAGACTAAATGTTTGGAGGCTGGAGATCCTACTTTATATTTACACACTTCATACGTCCCAGGTGTAGAGGTGGAGATCAGGGATACCACCAGGACACACACGATCAAAGTACAAACTAAATATAATGACAGGAGTGTCAAGCAGCAGAGAGAAAGAAAGAGCAGAATGTGGTGAATATACACGTCATCACGTCCGTCACGTCATTACGTCCGTCACGTCATCACGTCATCACGTCCGTTACGTCATCACGTCCGTCACGTCATCACGTCCGTCACGTCATCACGTCCGTCACGTCCGTCACGTCATCACGTCCGTCACGTCATCACGTCCGTCACGTCCGTCACGTCATCACGTCATCACGTCCGTCACGTCATCACGTCCGTCACGTCCGTCACAGAGCGATGTTTGCGTACACACATGGCCTGTAGTTTACGCAAACATCGCTATAACGGTTCAACTATTCCACTTGCATCTTTCATATCTTTCACACGCTTTGTGACACGCAATGGTTGATAACATTAGAGAAAAAATATTATGCATTATTAAAAATGGCAATAATACTTCTATATATTCTCCTGAAAATATTCTTTCACTCTATAACATGAAACTACAGAGTAAAAAGGTGAAACAACAACTCCCGCTGATGTCTGCGGGCCCCGGGCTGAGACACTAGACCCCAGTTTGTGCGTAGCCATCAGCCGTCCTCCTGCGGACTCACCCCCTGCACGACTTACAGCATTTTGTTTTTCCCGAATGTCAAAGGCTGCAAACTCAGTCATGTGATTTTAATTCCACCTTAGAAATTGTCAACATTCATTTATGGGTAAAGGTTTTGTTTTAAACAGTGTTGTATCTTACAGTTGCAGAGTTACATGTTTGTGCTGATATTCAATGGGTCTAAGAAGAACTCCAGGTCTGTTTATTATGAGGAGATATGCATAATGTCTCCTTTAAAATATAAAACATTATATTACTACACAATATAGATGCCAAAGATATTTATGCCTTTTCAAAGTAAGAAAATATATTATGAACACAACAATCCATCACCAGTTATTCAGCCGTGTTAGAGAAGATAGTCATCGCGTGTTAAACTGTCCACCATAATAGTGAGATCAGACAATTCTTTTTCTGAATCCAAACCTGGGTTGGTATTCTCTGTCCCTCCTGCTTCTGGGGAAGGAGCAAACAGCGGCGAGGGCGGAGATGTCCCGTCATCAATGTTTGGCAAAGATATAACAACCGCTTTTGCATTTGTGTGGAGACTGGCGTTTTTCTGATCACTCGCTTCTTTGCTGTCGCTCTGTTGGTTGAAAAGCATGTTAAGTTGGTTCAAGTCTAGCTTCGGGTATGACCCCGAATCGCTCATGGCGCAGACTAGCTTCTCGAGATGCGGGGTCTCCTTGGATGCGGCCTGACTCGCCTGCGCTGCGTCGCAGAGGTATTGTGTATGCTGCCGTAGCTGAGCGATCTCTCGTTCTGTCGCAGCGTTCTGTTTCAGGAGCTCCTTCGTACGGAGGGTGATGGCCAGCAAGCCTGATTGGTTCAGTATTTCAGCTGTGTTAAAAAAGCGCCGTTGCCTTGTGGAAGTGCTGTCCGGAGCCGGTCGATACGGGCTATGTGCGGCTGATGATGATGTCGAAGAGGAAGGTGGAGAGCAGGAGGAAGGCGAGGTGGAAGAGGATGGAGGAGAGGGAGTTTGTGAACTGGACACGGATGGAGAGCTGATGTTATCTGAGTTTTTCTGGGAGTGGTGGCTCTTTCTTTGTGTTGTTGAATGCGTTTGGTTGCCCGAGTGGCTCGAGCGGATTTTATGGTGCGAGTGTGAATGAACCCTGCTTTCTTTTAGTGGTTTTAAGTGATGTGTTGTCGTCAAAACAGTGTCTCTCTTCTTTTCCTCAGTGCACACTCGCTTACTCTGACTTTGGCCTTCACTCGGGCCGTCTTTCCCACAGCCGGAACGCAAGCCTCCATTACTCGCGTGGCTCTCCTTCCTGGGGTGAGGAGCAATGCGCGGGTATGAGTTCAAAATGGGCAGGTATGAGTTCTTGGTAGTGTTGTTGCGGCCAGAGGATTTCTTCAGATGGTTTTGTGGCTGGGCCATGGGAGCAGAGGCAGCAGTTTGTGTGGCTGGTTGTTGGATGAGGAGAAGCTGGGTGGGTGCTTTGGTGTCGGTGAGGCTGTGCCAGGCCCCGCCCCAGGGCATCGGACTGTGCAGAAGCTGCTCTGTTCTTGGCTGTGCCGTGAGGATGTAATCAGAGATTTGGGCCGAAAGTAAAAGAGAAAAAGAGGGAGGGAGATTAAAATCACGAAGAGAGAATTGTCTTGCCATTTCAGAAATAGGCAAGACAATGGTCAAATAATGAAAGCAGCAATATGTAAGATTTGCAAGTCATCATTAAATTGTGGTTATGTTAATTATGTGGTTACTGCTCTTTCTCCGCAGTGACTCCAGATGTGAATCCAGATGTGTCAAAGTGTATTAGGTGAAACTATACTATGTTGACAGATTGCTCATGAACGGTAAAAAGTAAAAGCAAACCGTTTTTGCAGATTAAAGCTAAGAGCCTAATCTCTCATTTGGCCCTTGGTGTTTATATGGTCAAATAACTGAATATTCTGTGGTTCTTCAGAGTTAGGTCGAATCCCCTGAAAACACTGGCAGAACACACTTCTCTGATCTGAAAAATGTCTGGTAGTCAATGAGTCAATAATAATGACAAGTTCACCATTAAACATAAATGGTAATCATTTTTTTAGAATTAAGAAAACTTAATTGTAAGAAGACCAGATGTTAGTCTCTTTTTGATGTGGGACTTGTAAACATGCATGTCTAAAAAATAGGAAATACAAAAAATTGAAGGAAACCCAGATGCTGAAGAAATATGTCAAACTATATATATATATATAACTCGATAAAAGAATTCCTTGTGTTTGCATATTGTGGGCTCCATTGTGATGTTGTACCCAAACATGACGTATTTCAACCTAAAATACCCCCATTTCTGTGAAAAAGCTGTTTTCACAGAATAGAATTGTTGCTGCCAAAACTCTTGTCTATTCAGCTGGATTTGGTGCATATCTGGCAACTTGAGTCCGAGAGAGTGAGAGAGGACCACAGAATATTGACTGTAATTGACCTTTAAAATCTGGGGTGTCTGACTTTATAGATTTTATAAACAACAAAAAAGTATTGCTAATATTAAATGTGAACACATTAGATCACAACTCTTTTTTGCACCGGGAGACACTTTGTGAGGATAGATTAGGAGAAGCAGAGCACCACTGTCCCTAAAGCATACAGTACATTTTTTACTACATACATTTTGTACTATATTTTCCAAATATTATATGTACCTGGCAAATCCTGCTGTTTTAGCACAGGGATTTAACCAGGGTTCTTTGCTTTTCCTAATCCATCCTTACATAATACAGCATTTTGATATGCAAGAAAAAGAACTAACATGTGACTATAGTGAACCAATATTCCAATGTGTTTTTACTGAAAAAGGCAAAAACACTGAATCTGTTTTGTTAACATAGTCCTCATTGGCCACGTGGGAAAGCTGTTTAGTGAAAGAGGAGAGCTCACCGGCTTGACCATCACGTTTTTGATGACATAAATGGGGGTCATCTCCTTGTATGGAGGCATGCTTTGGGCTGCGTTCCCACTGCCGCTGGTGCCGTTACTGCTGTTGTGACGGCTGCTGTTACTGTTGCTTTGCCTCTGAGGTTCTGAGGCACTGCTGGGCTGGTCGTCCACAGAGTCGGAGCCCGCCTCTGATCAGAACAAAGACAGGAAGACAAGTAGGCAGACGCGTTGTGAGAGAACACCAAGGTCCATAAACAGAAGAACCATGTGGAGGGCGCAGCTTACCGGAGTAGCCAGAGTCCTTCTCAGAGTCCTTTCCGGAGTCTCGGCATCGCGTGCGGCTGGTCAGGTTGGCCCTGGCAGTGGGCTCCCTGTGGCTGCCACTCTGCGAGGCCCGCAAGGTCGCACTGTTGCTTTTATTCTTAGCATTCTTAGAGGTGCTACGGCCAGCCCACTCTCCAGAAGAATGCCCCGGTTCCTTAGGCATTCCAACTTTGGCGATAAAATAGACATCATTGTTTTATGTGTACATTAAATTTGTGTCTGTAATTCAACTTAAAATAATTTCGAGATTGCATGACACTTTGAAGCAACTGTGGTTAAAGTTCTAACTCACTGCATGTCTTGATTTCTGAAGGACAAGCTACTGTGGCAAAAGCTGATTAAAGGAATTCATTCCTCCGCTGTATATTATCACTTGCAGTCTGTAAAATCCTTGTTCGTGTTCGTGCTGTCTCTACCAACGACAATAAAACATGTCTTCTGTCTGAATTAAACGCACAATCCCAGACTTTGTCATCTTCTTGTCTTCAATATGAAAACATCATATGACAAGTTCATGCAAAGTGACATCTGCCAAGCCTTTGTTATCATTATCAAAATATGTTTTATTTGGGGGTTTTATGGCTGTGATCCATAATTATGAACATTATAACAAGTAAAGGATACATAAGCATCACATGTACAGAAGTAAATGGGATTTTGAACCATATTCCAAATCAGAAGAGACAAGTTTAAGCAGGGGTCCCTAGCGTTTTTGTCTTTATCAGAAATAGTCCACCAGTCCCAGAAGTATCTTGAAAGTACCTCAGCTTTAGGATTACACCGTTTTCAAAGTAAACCAGAAATAACTAGAGGATGACTAATTTCCTGTTTTATCTAAACCACAGACTGTAAATATAAAAACATATCCCTTTGTTGCGTGTTATATAAATAAAGTGGATTGAACTGTAAGTTGTGTAACTGTTTCAGTGTGTGATCCACCCACACGGATACAATGAGACCCGCATTTCTCCATGTAAAGTAGCTAAATCTGACACACACGCACGATGACGTAATTAACGATTTATTAACTATTTGTATTTGTCCATCAAAAACTCCATGCAGTCCTAAACTTTAACAGTGAGTCTGCTTCTGGTTCTGGTTCTGGTCCCGCCCCGAGCCTCGTGCGTGAACAGCTGCGCACATGGACCAGGACCAGGACCTGTGGTGAACCGGATCAGACTCCTCCTCAGACCAACTCTTATGTAACAACACGAGCCATCTGAAAATGGCCCTAACTCACACACACTGTTGGCTCCATCCAAACACACACACACACTGTTGGCTCCATCCAAACACACACACTGTTGGCTCCATCCAAACACACACACACACACACTGTTGGCTCCATCCAAACACACACACTGTTGGCTCCATCCAAACACACACACACACACTGTTGGCTCCATCCAAACAAACACACACACACACTGTTGGCTCCATCCAAACACACACACTGTTGGCTCCATCCAAACACACACACACACACTGTTGGCTCCATCCAAACAAACACACACACACACTGTTGGCTCCATCCAAACAAACACACACACACACTGTTGGCTCCATCCAAACACACACACTGTTGGCTCCATCCAAAACACACACACACTGTTGCTTTTACACAGAACAGAGAACACAGTCATGATGAATATATGCACAAATATATGATAGGACTTACCTCCTGTTTAATTATCTGAAGAGGAGAAGAGCTTTACTTTATATCAGGAAAGCATGGCATGTTTTCTGTCAGGAAGACTAGAGCTTCCCCTTCTGCAGTTGTATTCGTCCATGTCGCAGTCCGCACAGCTCTAGCGTTAGTGACATGTCCTCAGGAGTCAGACATGGACAGCGCAGGTGTCAACATGGTGAACCAGCAGCCCCAGTTCTCCTCAGTCTTTCAAGTCTATATGACTTAGAGGAGGTCTTTTCGGTCCTCTCGGTCCAGCTCAGTCCTCTGGGCCTCTCAGAGTCCTATCGGTCCGGTTCAGTCCTGCTTAGAGTCCTCTGGTCCTCTCAGTTCGGTCAAGCCCCAGTGTCTCATGTACTGAAATCATCCATGATGTCCATCTGCTCTGGCCCCGCCCCCTCACTCTCATATTCATGAGCTCCAAAGACGTAATCCTTTGCGTCAGACCAATCCCGTGCGCAGACACGTGTGTGGGCGGGGTCGTGCGGCGGGCCACGTGCGTTGACAGTATGTTTTGGACAGATCCATGCGTTTGGACCGTCACATACTGTAGCAGCACGGGGACGTCACACTCACACACGCTCAGACATTATTGTTCTATCGCTCTGACCGCGTCTGAAGAGAGCAACACGCGCTTTTCAAAAGATTCAAGGTTCCTCCATAAATAATAACAGAAGTGTGAAATCAGGAAATGTAATTATTATGTACACCATACATAATAATTACGTATAAGTGTATAATTTAGCACATACTATATTATTAGTATGTGCTAGTATATTTTAGCACATACTCATAATTTCAACTCTGAGGCCTGCTATCCAAACGTGAAAACATTATTACATTCCACAACTACCAACCCTATCAAATAGTTTAGGACTTCACATCTCTCTCTCTCTCTCAATCCTCATTAATTCGAGTTTAGAGCAGTTCAAGGAAAGGTGAGATTAAACGCTGGGCGTGGCGAGGGACAGTGAGATGTGTGCGCGTGCATGTGACAGGGCCCAGGACAGGAGACAGAAGAGGAGACACAGGGGGCGTGGTCCAGTCCCACACACTGCACATGTTCCCTGCTGCGTGTCTGCAGGGACAGCGGTGTTACCTGCTTATGTAACAGCCAGGGCTTCATCTGATCGGGAAGCAGCCTAGCACAGAACAGTCTCATTCAACTCACAAAAAGACTGTTGTTTTTACTATTCGTATAAGAAGAATGGCTTTGGGGTTTTGTGGCTGTTTGTTCATCCAACTTATCCCAAGAACAGCAGTTAAAGAGACCTTTTCAGTGATAAATCCAAACTCGAACTCTTGTTACTTCCACAATATAGTAACAAACTATCATTTATGAAGATTTCAACTGATCGTGTTCCATGTTGTGTTGTTAGCTTTCAGAATTGATGGGTTCATATAAGGTAGAACTATGTCAAATTATTGTTAAATCACTAGTAAGGGTTCTTGACTTCATGGTTTTTTTCTTTTTGCAGTTCACCATTTCAATATCAATTAGTTGTGTAACTTGGTAATAGTTTAGTAACTTGTTATAGAGCTAACATAAATACAATTTTACTTCCCAGGTACAATTGGAATCCTGAACGCCAAATGTTTTGAGAGTAACACTGCCTACACTTTTGCATGATGATAATATGTGTTGCTCAACTGGTTTCGGAGCATAGCATTTAGAGGATTGTGGGAGGTGGATTTGGTCCTTTAAAGAGCGACTAAACACCTGTGCTCAGCCTTACTCCGCCCACATGAACATATACAAATTTTCTCTTAAAAGGGTGTTTCCTGGAGGACCAAGGGACAAGAAGGTGATTGACAGCTCACTTGTCACACGAAAAAAACAAGACAGTTAACATTGCTGCTTAAAGCAATAGTTTACACTCCAGAAAGTCTCATTCCACAGAATTATCTCAGCAGCAGTGATTGTCAACTCATGTAATTTAATTTTAATCCACTAGATGTCGCCAGAAAACTTCAATCTGCTGCTGGGGTGTGTGAGTTGGATGGGTTTATATCAATGGCGCAGACAGACGCACGTCACACACACCAACTGACGTCACACACACCAACTGACGTCACACGCACCGACTGACGTCACACACACATACTGACGTCACACGCACCAACTGACGTCAGACGCACCAACTGACGTCACAGAGTATTACAGAGTCAATGGAGAGGCCAGGACCAAATTCAAATGTAGTACCACCGAAAAGGTAGAGAGGGCGCCACACAGACATTTTTAGGCTCAAAAGTGAGATCTAATTTGCAATAAAATGTCAAAGAGCACTACAATAAACATATTCATGCAGTTTATGAGTTAAAACCAAATCAACTTTTTTTCTGTTGCTCTTTAAAGTAAATTCTCTTCAAAGAAAAATAAGTGCATTAAATCCAAAAAAGAATGGAGGTTAAAAGGATAATTAGGCCCGAGCCCGACTGGGGAAAGGGCCTATAGCTTTCACAATGGTGAATGCAAGGGGTGGAGGTGACGGTTGTGGGCGTAAACTCAAACGCTTTAAAATGATGCATCATGTGCCATTGAAACCTGTGTTGATTTTCAGGAAAAAAACTTTAAAAAAATTACATAAAATAATTTGAGCCCCTGAACATGCATGAAAACTTGCCAAATTTATCCCAAAATTCAGAACCAGTAAAAAAATGTTTATTTTTATGGGACTAAAAAAATGTCAGAACAGCGCCCCTACAAAAGTCAGTTTACATCGTGCCGTTGTAGAGCCACGAAATTCGGTACACATGTTCCTCAACTCAACCCATGAAAAAAACGATATCATGGCCAATTTTTGACAATAGCAAATTTGCTCCCATTTGCACGTACTAAGTCCGATTTGCACTCAAAAATTGACTGTTCAACTCCAGTGTCTAGGTCATTTAAAAGTGAAAACATAGAAATTGGCTCATTAGCGCCCCCTACAGACGGTCAAAGTTTTACATGAAGCTAATCCAATTTCGTTTGTTCAAAATGTTTGAAATTTTTGCACATAAGTCAATGAGACCCAAGACTTATTTTTTACCCTGTTACTGTGGCAATGATAAACGCTCCCCATTTTGTGTCAATGGCAAAATTGTTACATCTCTGTGTTCTTTGGTGTAACTACAACATTGAAATTTGAATTTGTAAGGGGTGCTATTTTGCAAAGTAAACGCCACTGTTTGCACATACAAAGTCAAATTTGTACCACATTTGAATTGGTTGTTCAACTCTGGGGTTTGGGTAAACTACACTACAGACTGAGTCAAGTTTTACATGGGCAGAAAGATATTTAGTTTTTTCTAACTGTTTGAAATGTTGAAAATAATTCTGTTTTGCAACTCTGATTCAATGAGTCAAACAGACCCGTGGCTTTTTTTTTTTTTACTTTGTCGCCGAGGCAACACCAGTGTGGGTTATTGACATTGATATTAACCACTGATCATAGGCATTCCAAACACAGTGTGGCTCCCATCTGGGCTGTAGGAAGACGGCCCGTCAGCACCACCTCTTCTGCGCGGTGCGGCGACGGCCGGGTTGATGCAGCTTGCAGTTTTGATTCCATATTATTTTTGCTCCTTTCAAATACATAAGGGCATTAAGGACATGAGTAATCCCACTCCTAGGACGAATGGTTCCAATGTGTATGTAATAATTGTATATCCTGTGTTCGTACTGTTTGATTCTCTGATCATTTGCTGAGGAATCAACAACTTTATAAAGTCCTTTGAGAGGACTGCTGCCGTGATTTAGGCCTGTACACAAATAAATTGAATTGAAATATTAAAGACACGCTTAGTCATTTTGTTTTCCCTTTAGGAACCTGCCAAATACAGTGAAAGGAGCAAACAGTGAGGTTAAGACAGGTAGAACGTGTATTCAATCATTGTCTTTCAGTTTTACATTCATAAACAAATAGAAAGTTTGAATAGATAATGCATTTTTTCCCTATTTCAGATCATCTCTGAAGAAGAAATGGAATAGGAAAAAGAATAGACAAATTGAAAAAAATACATCCATTTAACAAACAGGAGAATTATTTGAAAAGCACAGCGGCAGTGTGTGATCACGAGGACAGAGGCCCAGCTGAAGAGGCCCAGCTGAAGAGGCCCTTTGCAGCTCACTAGTGATTGAGCCTAGCACCACGATGGGGCCACGTTTACAGTATTAGACACAGTGCACCCCTTCCTTATTACCAGTTGTGCAGCTATATTTAACAATTGGGGAACATTCCATATGATAAAAACACATCCTCACGTATCACAATTGCACTCACAAAACACAAAATCTAACAAAAGGACCATGTTCATAATTTAGGACAATTACAGAAAAAAATGATAAATGAAAATGTAAATATTACTTTTCTTGTGGGAAATTATTTCAATGATTGTACTGGAAATTACTTGCATGTACCCTCACACAAACCACAAGAAAAATAAATGATACTTTTATGACAATGTGTTTTTTTCCACATAATTGAGATGAGTTTGGGTACAGAACCCAGCGTCAGATGACCTACACTATAGACAAGGCCCCATTACAAAATGAGGTTTTTTTTCAATCACTTCACAGGTATTTTTTTTGCAAATCAAGAAAGATGAAATGTGTGAATTAAACCAATCTTATAAAATATACGCCTTGTGTATTTGGCTATTCCCAACATCAATCATTAGCAGCCACATTATACAGATCAGTTCCAGCGATCACATTTGTGAAGTGATTTCTCTCTGGACGGTTCTGAAGACATTTAACTTGCAATATGCATTTTCACTTTGTTACTTGTTCCTGATAAATTGAGTTAAGGCGTTGAAAGGCACTAAATATGAACCCCAACACTCCCATCGCTTTAGATTCGATTCTCCAAACCCCAGACACACACACACACACGCACACACACACACACCCAGCAACAAGAGACACTGCTGTTCCGGGTCTTTCTGTTAAACAACCAGTCTTCAGTGAGTAAAAGCTCATTGTGAACAAGAGCACATATAAACAGTGTACGGCTTCAGGAGAACATAAAAAAGCTGCAAGTGCTGTGTCACCAAAGGCCATTTTAAGGTGCTATGTCAGAAGGTCAGCTTGAAATTTGTGCTGATGACTAAGTGAGGTACTGAAGTCCAGTTTGATACAGTATAGCCAATGTGGCCATGCTTTTTTCCGTAGTGTGGGTGTGTACAAAATATGGTCGCCAGTCCAGGCACTTTAACCTTGCCAGGACTAAAAGGTCCGAAGGAGACTGGTGAGTTCATAGTTGCTGGCGACAAAGGCAGCTGACACATGGCTTATGCTTGTGTGTGTCAGTGTGTGTATGTGTTGCTCCATCACTCTCTTATGCTAGCAGAATAGGAGAACTGGGGAAAATGTGCTTGTTGCCTGGGGTCTTCACAGTCCAGATTGAGCTCTAGAGAAGATCACAAATAGATGGTCAGTTAATGGAATAGTTGCGATCAGGCAATGGACGTTCCGAGTACTCACGTTTGCCTGGAGGTGTGAGAGTGATAGTCTGCGCGGTGAACTCCTCGTCAAAGTACCGTGTGTCCGTCTCTGATGTGACTTGAGGTTTGAAAATAGGGTTAATCTGAGGGCGAAAACAAAAACTATTTCAACTAGGATTCTGTGACACTAAGATTGCAGCACTTCATGATTTTGAACAAAGCTAATGCACTACGGAGGCACAGACAAGTCAGACAGTGCTGCTCAAACCATGTAAACCAGTGGTAGGAGTGAAGCAGCAACTGATTTAATGACATTTTCAAACGCAAAAGTATGAAAAAGCACATTTAAAAGCGTGCTATGGGCCTTACCTTAAACATGAACTGCACAGACCAGTTCAGACCAGTTTCATGTTTAAGTCCAGATAATAGTTTGAGCGTAGATATGTAATCCTCCATTTGGAAATAAGTTCAATGAGTCAACCTTTTTAACCTTCACCTTTCTTCCTTATCATACCTATTGTCATTGAAACATTACCCTAAGTGCATTTTAAATTATCTTAAAATATGTTATTTGTATGTTAGCCAAACCTGTAGCTGCCCTTAGCAGATGAAGAACAAGAAAAGAGCTTTCTGATGGAATTGGATGCAGCTCACAAGCGCCCCCCTGAGGCTGGCCTCACTTGGTGACATTACATATGGGTCTTAATTACACGATTAAGAACCATATTTGTTTCAAAAACACAATTTATGACCCATCCTCTCAACTGTGGACATGTAGATTGTGAAGGAAATATGTTGAACTTTGTAAACAGAGAAAACAGTTCTATAGCACTACACAGGCTTCTCCCCCAGTGAGCTGTAGCTTTTACGTCACTCAAGTGAGGCTCGCCTCAGGGCGTCGCTCTGTCAAATGTGAGAAGAATTAAGAAATTCTGCGATTTCAAGGTAAAAATTTAAATAAGGCAAAGCTACATTGAAATAATACAATAGCACAAATCATTTGATATAGTGACCAAGTATTATTGTTTCCATTTTATTCTTTCCTTTCCCTGATCGCCGTCTGCCTCGTCACTGACACCGACCCAATTTCTCTGAGTGACAGTCAGAGTAAGTAGTTAGATTACTCGTTACTGGAAAAAGTAACGCCGATTATTTCAACGCCGTTATTCCCATCACTGATTGGGAGACTAACAGAATGTGATCTGAAACTTAAAGCCCTTAAAAACATCGTAATCGTTCATTATTAATAGAAAACTGGACTCTTTTTCATGCATACAAAGTAATTCATTTGTATTTTACCTTCTTCTGTTCAAGATCCTGCCAGTTAACACTGACAAAGAAAATGTGATTCATGACGTCTTTGGCATCATTAGGTCCTCCGCCTAACCTAAAGTTCATATAGAAAATAGTGTCAAATGTAGAGTTAAAAACAGTAAAAACCTCTCTGTAAAACCTTCCTTTGCTTTGGGTCTTTCTTAAGCAGGCCGGCCAAAAGGGACTTGGCCTCTGGAGAAAGGTTTCTGGGAAAGCGGATCTCCTCCATTAGGATGAGCTCAAACAGTCGCTCGTGATCTCGGTTGTAGAAGGGCAGACGACCACACATCATCTCGTACATGACCACGCCCAGGCCCCACCAGTCCACCGCGCGCCCATAATCATTGTCCTCCAGAACCTGAGCAGCCACGCCACATCCTCACACATACTGCAGTAATGGACTGAAAAAACAGCTGTACTGATTATAATCAGGGGAGCACTTAAGTGGTACGCAGGCGCGACAAATATCAGAAATGAGTCAGAATATCAGAAACTATCACTTGAGTTAGTAAGCATAGACCATAGACCAGTCCTTCTCATAGTGGGGCGCTCCTCCCTAGGGGGGCATGGTGCAAAGCCAAAGTGTGACGAAGTGGGTCCGTTTCAGCAACGTGTGCCAATATAGTATTACACTAAAAGGAGTGCGCTGAAGCAAAAAGCTTATTAGCACCGCACCCCCAAATCAGAACATTGTTTTTATTTATTGCATTTTTTTGCATTTTTAAAACCGAGCCCTGTGAGTCATTATCTGACTTGGATTGAGTGGATTATCTGAGCTGATCTAAACTTTAGCATAAAAAAGAAGCAAGTATAAAATCTTGATTAAGAACCACGCGACAAATGGAGTGAGAACCAAACACCATCTCCAGGAACTCATCTGAGAACCTCACAGAAAACGTTTTGTGCACCCCTGATTATAATCTTCAGACTGCAGGGATACAGAGGTACGACTTACCTCTGGAGCAAGGTACTCAGGAGTTCCACAAAAGGTCTTCATGGTGGCATCAGACGTAATACCCTCTTTACAAAGTCCAAAGTCTGTAATCTTAATGTGTCCATCTTTGTCCAGCATCAGGTTCTCGAGCTGAACACCAAAGATCACAACAGACATATTTAGATGGATTAGAATTTGTTTATACTTTATAGCTACAGCTACAAAGCACAGGTATCTGTAAGACTCCTCTCGATACAGGGACGATCTGATACGTCTCAGTGAACACTGTAGACCTTCATCTAATGCTTTACCACATTTTAACAAAAATACAACATTATTGAGGCCCATTATAATTTTTATTTATTGAAGATTCATTATTATGACCAAGAACTGGCCTTAATGGGACTGTGCAATATTATGGCATATTTTTGTCTTGAAATGACGAGCAGATTTGGATGTTGGGAGTGTTGTATGTTTGTGTCCAACAGCACTGTGAGCCCAACACTCATTTAATTTGGGGAAAATAAAGTTGAACCTAGAACTGAGCCTCTCAGAGGGCGGCTTTAGAAAATATAGTTTCAAATAATTTACAATTTTCCATCCATCCATCCATTTTCTTCCGCTTTATCCGTTGCCGGGTCGCGGGTCTTTTTTTTTTTTTTTTTAAGAATTATGCAAAATAAAACAAATATTTGTTACTTAAAAACCACCAAAAACAATATCTTTGTTTTGAATATTTGTGTACACAAAATCTATACAGTATATCGTTTTTTTAAATGTGTTTTATCTAATATCTGTTCTAGAACACTCTAGAAAAGGGTTGTGGGGCTCTTTAACTTATGGTTACTAAAAGCTAGCATTTCTTGACAAAACCAAAGACACTTTAAAGCAGCAGAAGCTCCTGAATCCAGTACACTTTCTATACAGCAACCTGGCCTCACACAAATGCGTTTTCCTTTATTCCAGTTATGATTTTAGTCCTCCATCTTTCATAAAGTTTCAGGGCTGCATCTTTTGTCTGTTTCACATCACATTTCTGACCAAACTGGCGCCTAAGGGGTTAACCGAACACGTCTCGTGTCGTCATAGTGATCAGCACCTTGAGGTCTCTGTACACCACGTCTCGTGAATGAAGGTATTCCAGCGCAGACACAATCTCTGCCCCATAGAAGCGCGCCCGGTCCTCTGTGAAGACCCGCTCACGTGACAAGTGGAAGAAGAGCTGAGACAAGCGGAAGGGGAGTTTAAAAGCACCACTACAAATGTGTGTTGGCATAAGTTTTCTGCTACTGGACACCTGCATTTCAATAAAATATCCATCTATGACAACTCACCTCGCCTCCGTTGGTGTATTCCATAACAAAACACAAGCGATCGTGTGTTTGGAAGGCGTACTTGAGTGTCTGCGGAAGAAAACGGAAGAAAACAGTGCAACAGTGTGTGACCGAATGTGAAGTTGTGTGTTCAGATAACATCTCTGACTGATAGTGCTAACCGCATGGCTCAGCAGATTGTAAAGTAGAATATCTGTGGTGTGCAGAAGCGAAGGAACAAACTCCTATCTGGCCTCATCTTAAGTAAACAACACATATTTGATTTTTTATTGTGAATTATCCTTCTTACGCTTTTTGGGAAAAGACAAGGAGTTTGTTTGTTTGTTTACTTTGAACATAATGGGTTTGAAATATTGGTCTTTAGTGTAGAAAAATGGCTGTGGTTGTTTTCCTGAGAGAATGAGCTTTAAAATGAGGTATTAAATGCCATGGCAGCTCAAACTTCCTTAGGCATAGACTTCTGTTCATTTAAATAGGACCTCCATAATTTGACACACCGCTGATCGTGTTGGCGAGGTTGGTACTTACAGTGAGAAAGGGATGGCGTGTGTTTTGTAAAACTCTGCTCTCAGTAACTGTGTGCGCAACTTCATCCTACAATAAAAAAGTCACAAAAGAATATTTAACACATGAGAACACGGACAGTACGAAACAAAAAGAAAGCACTAACTCACCTTAGCTATAATGACTTCTTTCCGCAATATTTTCATGGCATAGTGTACTCCGGTAGACTTTTCCTTGACAAGAATCACTTTCCCGAACGTCCCCTTACCGAGCAACTTTAAATATTCAAAGTCACTCATATTCTACACAATGTGGAACCATATCGTGAGTCAGAGAAGGAGACAGGTTACACACTAAAGACATTATAAATACCACTTTATTGCCACTCTTGGACAGGGCCACTTCCATCTCTTCCAAACTACACTCGCTCGGTGAGCCAAACATATCCATAGGCTCCTCCTCCTCCTCCTCCTCACGCATCTTCAGATTGTTGGCCACAGACTGGATTGCCCGCATCCACTCCTCTCTGATGATTACAGGGCAGATGATAAAGGGACATCAAGGTCAAGAGAAAACAGAAGCTCCGCGCTAACCTCTCCTCATTGGTTTCCACATGAAAAGTGCGTTCAATGAAAGTGGTCCACTGCAGGCAACGGATAACAAAAGAGTTTGACTTGGGTCTTTCTGTCTTCATTAACTGGCACTCTGCAAAAACAACGAAAAACTCCAAAATACTACTTCATGGTAATGTCATAAGTAGAATACAGTAGTAGTAGTAAGTCCTAAGTAAATACTACTTTTTATTAGTAATAAGCAGTATACTAATTTTGGGAAACTGCTCAGCTGATTAAATAAAAAGGGCAAAATTGGTCATATATTTTTATCTTTAGGCCGTAAATGCTTGTCTGAATGAATGAATTCTGCAGATTCTGGGTTTTAACTACTACTACTGTTGTGATTTAGGGCTATACAATAATAAATTGAATTGAATTGAATTAAATGGGGAACAAGACAGCGCGTTAAGGCTGTAACTTCACCGATCAGTTGATTAAAACGCAGTTAACAGAACAAGATTTTATCATAGTATAGTGGCTTCGACGTCAGCTATATCTTGGTCAGAGGACATTCTAGTACTTCAACCACAACAACAAAGAGACTTTTACACAAATAAATGTTCTAAGATGGTATCGAACAGTGGTATAATCGATTACTAAAAACAATATTGTCCGTATTTGGTCAAGTCTGACTAAATGAGATGGTAACTGTGAATGGGGGAACATCTAAATGATTTTTTTCCCTGCAGATTATTGATGCCAGAGACTTAAATCAGCTCCAATAATCATAACAATAACAACTTGAATACTCACGGGCTACCGAAAAGTCGTTGAGAGGTGGAGGACTCTGATCACTCAGGTCTGGTTTTTCTTTGTAGCCATTAAAGGAGCCATCACTTTTTAAAACGAAATATCTGGGCCTCCATGTTTTTATGTATTCACCTGAAACCGTGAGAAATACACAAGACGGTCACAGTGAATATATGTTGTAAATATATCGTCTTACCTCTCTTCTGGAGCCAGCCTTCTCGCACTACACTGACGTCGTTCATAGTGAGAGGCGTCTTTCCGAGGGCGAGGAGTGGGAGGATGGGGAGGGGATTGGTGAACCTTCTCTGGGTCTGCTCACTTCCCAATCGCGGTCATCAAAGTTCACCGTCTTAACGAGACAAACGGGAGACTTCACACCATACTTCTAGCTGTCAATGCTCCAAATGAGTCTTGAAATATACAACTAGTGATCGCAAGAATAGTGGAAATGTGCTTCAAAATAGAGGTATTATAAGTAACATATTCCATCCAATTATTAGTGTAAGAAAATTTTAGAGGATTAAAGCTGGAGTCGACCAATTATTATGCAGATGTGATATGTTTTATTTGTTGTATTTAAGTTTAGTCCAGTTTAGTCCAGCCTACTGGTCAAAACAGTAACTAAACATTTATTCTGTACAGAGTTTTACAGCAAAAATGATTCATATTATTTAAATGTTTTTTCTTTTATTAGAGATTGATTAGTACTGGCTAATGGTTGGTAACAAATATTTAAAAGACATTTCAATAAATAACCAGTGGAAATCTAAATTATGGCCTCAATTAAATATTTTTCTCATAATAAAACTTTTACTAACCCATAAATAATACACGTTTGTCTAAACAGAACGTTTTGTAAAATGTTAAATGCTGGACAGTTAGAAAGAGCCCTGCGAGTCACTACTTGACGCTTTGGGCTGAGACCCGAGCTCTCTTCATCACGTTTCAGTCCGAACAAGCTGATCTAAAATGTATGACAAGACAGAAACGTGCATGTGAGAACTAGGGATTGACCAGAACTCTTCTGAGACTGACATATATTTAATAAACATTTAATTTATTTAGATTAGACAAAATATTATTGTGCTCTGGAAATAAGGTACCCAAGCTTTAATCTAACCCCATAAATTGACATCGAAAACCTCAAATGATTTCACATTTTTCCCCATTAATGAGGTATTCCCACAGCAGCAAAGTTAAAATGGTAGTTGTTTGTTTGCTCGGGTCCACGCAGCCTCTGACAGCAGCTAGCATCAAGTTAGCATGAAGCTAACATGAAGCTAACACGAAGCTAACACGAAGCTAACACGAAGCTAGCACGAAGCTAACACGAAGCTAGCACGAAGCTAACACGAAGCTAGCATGAAGCTAACACGAAGCTAACATGAAGCTAACACGAAGCTAACACGAAGCTAGCATGAAGCTAACATGAAGCTAACACGAAGCTAGCATGAAGCTAGCATGAAGCTAACATGAAGCTAACACGAAGCTAGCATGAAGCTAACAGAGCGACCACTTATTCAGATGCTTTCGAATGCGCAATAACCTCACAAACCCACACCTGAACACACACAGCACCAAGACACGTCTGCAGGACTAAAGAAAACAAAACATTTCCACTGACCGCTCACTTGCTCCAACTCGGTTACTCATAGTTGATACTCGTGGCTACTCATTAGTGAGACATTTCAACCGAATGTCGCATAGACCTGCTTCATTTCACACACTGCAGATGTAAACACCAGGCGTTCATGGCTTAGTAACATCATTAAACTAGAAAAGCCATCGCAGAAAGTCCACCTCATCTCTGCAAATGTGGGAGTATTATTAGTAAACAATTCTCGATCTTGAACTAAAGCAGCTCCGAGCCACTGGAGGCTATTTCAGAGCCATGCCGTGCCAATAACTTTATCCCACTTGCGCTGACCTGGCTCAACAGTGTGTCACAGAGGCATAGAAGCAGAGGATTATAAAACATACGCGTAAAGAGGTGTTTGGTCCACGTTGAAGTGGTTTAGGAGCCGTTTTGACAGGCTGGAGCAGGAGCAGGCCACATCCAGACTCTCTCTGACGACAGCAGGCGAAGGTCGCAGCGCAGTGACATCACAGCGGCCTCTGGTGGCGAGAGAGCGCACTGCAGCGACCCATTCTGTCCTGTTAAAGTGAATGGAGCGGTCTGTGAACCTGACTGATGCGTTGCAGTGTGTCGCAATAGAAAGGCTGAGTGAGAGTGGTCTGTAAGAGTGTAATACATAGACGTCGGAACTAGGGGTGCGGGGGGTGCGGCCGCACCCCCTCCGCGTGTGCCGGGAGGGGGTGCAGCCCAAAACCCGCTCCATGCTGTCGGAGAAGCTTATGAAGCTCTGTCTGGCTAATATCTGTCGCAGCCTCTGAGCGCTCTTTCTCAGCCTTGCGCAGATTAGAGACCTGGCTACACCAGTGACGTGCGGTGGGGGATCAATCATGTGTTCATAATATGTTTATAAGTCTTCAACAATTAATTATTTGACCTTTATTTAACGAAGATAGACCCCCGAGAGTGTAGTCCTGGTCCCATAGGCGAATGAGCTCACACAAGAGAAATGTACATGTCACATCTGGCATGGATAGGATCACTCAAGATTGTGCAAAAGAAAGAAATGTGCAAACATGCTAAATGCAGGATATATTATGTACAATAAAAAGTGGCAATTAAAAAGTGGCAATCAAAGAAACAGTGGCTCCGGATCTACCTTCCCACCCTGAGCTTTGGAAAATGACTGAAAGAACTGTACACTATCAAGTACCATACATTTAAGTCTACAGAATTATACAAATTCCCATTTTTCTCCCAGTAACAGTAGATCTTCTGATCTATCCACATGATTGCAGACACTCATACCTCTCTTTATCTTTTATCCACAGAATGTTAATGTTTGGGAAATTAAAATGTATTTTTTATTGTTTTATTGTGATCAGTCAGTACAAAACCAAATATGTGCTTATAAATATAAAGACTTCCTCTCACACAAATATTTATATCACTTGCAATTAAAAAGACAATAGAGACACTATTATTTAAAAAAGTGTGTATAAAAGGGAGGTTTTCAATAATTATTGAAAAAGATAATCTCAGTCAATCCTTAAAGTATTATGATCATAATCCTTAAAGGTCCCACATTCCGCTCTGGTGCACACGTGTGACGATAATTTAGGTGATACACCTACAACACTCTAAATTGGTTACCTCAATTGAAACGAGCAGATCCCTGATCCTCTCTGCACCTCTGCCTGTGAGCCCACCTGGATTTTATTATCCATCAATTTTCTTCCCCTTAATCCATTTCTGGGTCGGGGGGGTGGCCAGAGATGCCAGCCAGTACACAGAGCACCAGCCCCTCACTGATCCTCCTGAGTCCACAGGAGGATGGCTGCTCTATCCATCCTTGACCTTTCAGCGGGGGCTTAAGGCAAAGTGGGGTTAAGTGTCTTGCCAAAGGACACAACGACAGCAGACATCCGTGAGAATCGGTGGAGAAGGTCTCTTGGGGGCTCGAACCCACGACCATCAGGCTCAAAAACCAATGCTCTACCAACTGAGCCACTGTCGCCCCCGTTTTTTTTCGGACAACAACCATTTTAAACACCGAGGCTTCTGCGTTATGGGCGTCATCAGTGTTGTGTTCGTCACAGATGTGGACCCGAGCGTTTTTCTGCCTCTCGAGAATGAAAGAGATAGATTGCTCTCTAAGTGTATGAAGGCCAAATAACACTGTAATGATATGTAAAGCAGAGAAAAGTCAAAAAGTTTAGTATGGGACCCCTAAAAACTGTTTATTGTTCAATGTTACTATGAATTCATAAATACGAAAAAATGCCCAGAATGTTTGTAATTCATATTTAAAAATTAAAAAAATCCATTAAATAAGCCAATCCATGTAAAAATACTAGGTTTATATGACAGCGGCGTCTTCACTGTTGTTCTGTGCAAAATGCTGCTTCTGGGTCAAAGCTAAAGAACACATGATAGCATAGAGTAAATAACATTACAATATTTAAGCAATCCCATGTTTAAACGTGACACTTACCTGCTATGATCTCCTCCTTCACCTTATGTAGCTCCTTCTTCACTTCATCCAGGATGTCCTGTGGTAATTGTCCGACATGTTGAATACTGATGGGTTACAGGGGTCTGATATTGAGGATCTTACTGTTTCCTAAAGCACTTTGTGTTGCCTTGTGTATGAATTGTATTAGACAGATACATTTGCCTTGCCAAGTCTCATAATGAAGTGAAAGAACTTACCTTTTTTAACTGGTCTAAGTCCAGGCCATCACTTCCAGACCCTTCACTGTTATTCTTTGTCATCTTCATCCTGAAATAAAAAAACCGGTAATGATAATGCTGAACTTAAGGTTTTACGGGGATGGACATCTGGCATTGCTGACATGAAGCTTTTTCCCACTGCAGCCAAATACATTTCGATTCAAGTCCAAATGTTGTGTCGATCCAAGACGATAGTGGGAAAGGTTGGCGTGTTGTTTTGAACTGTGTCTGCTTTTCACGACTTTCAACGACTTTCCAGCCCATATCTCTCGTGTGTAATTAAATAGTGATTCTGCATTTTTGGTAAGCAGTCCTGTGTTTTTGCTTTTAACCTAAGCCAATATAAGTACTGCATATGAAGAAGAACATTCACGACTATTGGTCCGTAAAAAAGATTAACTCAATATCTTTGCTTTGGCGTGTGACATTGAGCCGCCCAGAACAGAGGTCAGAGAGCTGGAGGTGTTGGAGGTTTAGGACTTCTCTCTTCCAATTTTTCAAATCATTTTTCAAGTCTTATTCTATAAACCAAGAGAGAAAAGCTATAGTTTTGATACAGTATTATAGTGTTATATATATAGTATTTGGAAGATGTGCCGGGTTAACAAAGTTGTGTGGAGGGCCTGATAAAGGTGAACATTATACACAAATCCAGCCGTATTTTATTAGTAACCTTTCTCTTATTCTACGGAAGCACAAATAAATGCTGGAATATTCTGGTAAAAGCTAGTACCAGAAAATAAATGGTTATTTTCTTTCACGGCTGGGAACAAACATAGAAAACAGAAGCTTAACACTACTTCTCTCTTTGGTTATTCACCCGTTGTCCCATTGTCTGTTTCATGGCGCGACAACAGGACCTCTGAACCGACCCTCTCCATCTACACCTGCGGACTGCCCTGCCCCACCCGCCTGGGAGCGCTTCAGTCCTGCACCGGACCTGTTCACGCTCTGCGGCCGCTGCGTGGAAATGGTCCTGGTTCTGTAGCTTAGGTCCTGGATCTGTCCGGCCGTGTTGGAGCGGATCCCTTGATCAAACCATGGGTCTCCCCGAGGTTTCTCACTTTTTCCCACTGGGTTTTAAAGTTTTTCCTCTGATGCAGGAGGGTCTGTGCGGATGATCCAGGACACTTTAACATTCTACAACATGTATGACATTTATCAACATTCATGGACATTGGTCTCTCCCTATGGACCAACTCATACGTGTATATTTTGTGTCTTAACTGTTGATTCTCTGATCTGTGTTGGTGATTTCAATGGTTTTGTGAAGTCCTCTGAGATGACCTGTTAGGATTAGATAGCAATATGGCCTACGTGCAGGACAACTATAAGGACTCTTGACTGTGTATCCATGTTTTGACTATGATGTGCACTGTCTCTGTGTGACACGTATGTCTTTCGATGTGTGACGTGACAATGACAAACTGTGTACTGACTCCATTTTGTCTGAGAGAAAGAAACAATGGAAACCACTGGAACTTGAGAGAAACTTAAATAAACTTCCAGAGTTTGGCGCACCACGATCCGTCTCTGTCTGGTTCATTCCTGACAGGCCACTGACATGGTTTTCAGTTATTTCTATGAACTTGCAGGAAGGATCATAGGAGGATATGGCTACACGTGATTTTCATGTATTGGAGAAGTAAAAAACATTTGCGTTCGTTGACGAAGGGGCCGTTTTACCATGGACCCCCCACCTGTGCATCAGTGAAGGGCTGCGCTGCTATGAGCTTTGGGTGGCAGCTCCGATTGAAGAGCCTATTTGAATTTACAGTGCAACCACATCATAATGTTTTCTTTATAATCCATAACATTGAAACTAAAATAATGACTTTGGACAAAATGACTTCCATAACTCAAACTAGGAATATAGAAAAATAAGCACAGAGGAAAAAGATGAACTCCGAACAAACTTTCTACTCATAAAACACTGGATGTACTGGGAAAGTTGTGGCCCTTGAAAATGACTGAAAGGTAGACAGCAGAAGTGTGCGAGAGACCATGTGCACTTTCACCTGGACAGAGGGGCCGAGGTCGGGAACAAGGAGGCCGGACTGGCATCTCTGCTGGTTAGAGATTTTGGCCTGGAAACATACAAAGTGTTGGGTTAGGAGGGTTTGTTGTCGTTGATACACAAACTTCTGACTTGTTTTGTTGTTCTGGTATCTAATCTATTGTATTTTCATTTATGTATTGTGTAAATATTGCGTGGTCACGTGAAAATCCGCACAGTGTCATCTGCGACACTCACTGCCCTGACCAAGACTTTTGTCGAAACGCGTCGGTTCATAATTATAAAGTGCGTCCTTCTCCATTTCTTTCACTGCAAACAAAGTGTCAATGTTGAAGTGCGTGACTTTTCCATGTTGTCATTGAAAACTTGAACATTTGTTTTGTTATTGTGCTGCAGGGAAAATGCTGAGGCAATGTTTACAGTCTATGGTTATTACATGGGATACTTCTACTCTGACAATGTTCAAATCCAGCTAAAAACAGTTATGTTTAGCTGTGCGTACAACTGATGGATCGTATCTTCACTCTTTTTAATGCCCAGAGATTATTTAGGATTTTAATGCCCCTGTACAAATTAAAAACGGGTTTAGTACGAAATAAAACAAGGGCTAGAGTCCCCAGAAGACATCAAACATAGGGTTAGACAACACAGATGATTAGCAGATTTGAGGCCTGTTTTAATGACTATAAATGCAAGTATTGAGAGAGAAAATGATTAATAATAACAATATCTGGTCTATCCTTCTGCAGGTTGTAAATGAAAATGTGTGTGCATGTGTTTTACTACCATTGGCAGTAGTAAGTATTGAAGGGTATTTCTATTTCTGTATGTACTGTACTGTTATGATACTGCTGAATGAGTTTTTCCCCTGATGCAGGAGGGTCTGTTGGGGAGTCAGTGTCCAACTAGAAGGACTGTGGTGATCCAGGACACTTTCACATTCATGGACATTGGTCTCTCCCTATGGGCCGAGTCATATTCTGTGTGTTAACTGTTGATTCTCTGATCTGTGTTGGTGATTTCAATGGTTTTGTTAAGATGATGCTGTTGTGATTTAGGGTGATATTGTATTGTAATGGTACTATATGGTATTGTTTGTATTTTTTGTACATGAGGGTTTGCTTCACCCAACACATAGATTGAAAATTATGTACCCCAGCAATAATCCCCTGATGCACAAAATGGAAGACCGCTGAAACGTGTGTGTGTGTGTGTGTGTGTGTGTGAGAAGCAAGAATACGTCATTTTTACTGCTGAATGAATCTGATATTAAAGATGGTTTCACCTCGGCATCGTGGCCGCATGGTCCTTGGGCTTTTCACTGGCCTCTGCAACACATTTAAGATAAGACAAGATAAGATAAGATTGACTTTATTGATGTCACACAGGAGAAATGTACATGTCACATCTGGCACATGGATAGAAACAAGATTGTGCAAAGGAAAGAAATGTGCAAATGTTAAACGCAGGGTATATTATGTACAATAAAAAGTGGCAATCCAGCAATTTTAAACCGGTTATTGCTTTTTGGTAAATCATATGTGGCTAGATTATATGCTGAATGCTAAATGATATTGTCTGTATTGTAATTCACTTTGGCGGGAAGGCTGCAGTCTGTCTGGGCGGGGTTAGCATGTTTAACACCAGAGGAAGCAGGCTTTTGAACATGCTAATAAGGAAAGTCTTGTCATTGTTCCTTGCTCTGCTGCTTCTTCCTTTCCCATCTGCATACGAAGGTGTGTCCTCGAGTATGAAAGGAGCTGCAGACTCTCGGAGCTGCAGATCTGGTCCTGAGAGAGGCCGGGCTCCGAGCCGTGCCTCTGTCAAGATCATTTCTCCTTGTACAATGTAACAAGTAACAGATTGACTATGTGTGTTTGTTGTGTGAGATTTTATCAGGTTGAACTGTGGTTGAAACAGCATTAACACTTTGACAAACTCGAGCGGGCCAGTCAATTGTGTGTTTCCTGTCTGTGCCAGTTCTGTCTTTGTGGTGAACTGAAAACACATGGTGCAAACTTTACCTTCTGCTCCTGAGAACCTTTGTGACTCACGTAAGTCCTTCAAAAAAACACCAAATACAGTATGTTAGTACACATTTAATGAGTAATAAGTACTAATTTCTTCTTTTATTCTATTTGTACATTTCTATATTTGACAGCAGTATTTTCGTTGTAACATGACATCAGTTGGTGTTGTAGGGTTGTATATTGATTACCGTGATCTTACTGTGCTTATGAATAACTGTACATCAATCAGCTCAGTTATGATGCATCTAGCCATATTAAGCATTTTATTAATTGTCTATTAATTTGTTTTGACTCAAAAACAACTTACAGACTGTAGCTCCTCTTTTTTCTGTGGTGGGGCATTTGAAGCCTTCAACCTTGAATGAATAAAATGATAACACACACTTATTGGTCAGAACTGGGGATTGGCGTTATGACCAATGAAGATGTATGTTTTAAAAGATCCGGTGGACACAATAACTATAGTGTAGCAATACAATTATCAAGATCCTCATGAATTTACCTTCTGGCGAGAATAGCACTCATTTCTCCCATCAGGCCAACCCCGCCCCCTGAAGAGGGAGCTGGTTTGGGGGATACAGCTCCTTCATCCTGAGGAAGAATAATCATAATTTGGTGGTGTCAGAATATTTTTGTCTGTTGTTTCCTTGGTCCACATTCACAGTCTGACCTTGGGGGCTGCTTTGCGGAGTTTGGCTCCTGCCAGAGCTGCAGCCAAATCGCTGCCTCCTCCACTGCCTCCTCCAGCATTAGGGGGGGGAGGTGGGGGAGGTGGGGGAGGAGGTGCCCCTGCTCCCCCAGGAGGAGGTGGAGGGGCTGGAGGTGCTGTCTGAGCCAGTCCGGGGGCAGGAGGCGGGGCGGGCGGAGCAGGAGGGGCGGGCGGAGCAGGAGGAGCTGGTGGGGGGGCTGAGGCCTGCTTCTGTCTAAACATTAGCAACAATAACTGTTTAGGAATCAGCTGAATGAAAGTCACATTGTTCCAAAGACAGCAACATTACACAAAGATTACATTTCTCTGTCAGCAAACAGCGTCCTAAATAAGACATGAACAAAATAATGAAATAATGAATAAGCAACGTCCCAGCCGTTCCCTGAACACAGAAGCAGTCAGACAAACACACAGTACAAATTTACTTGTACTGTACCCTCCCTGGTGCTCCAACTCTTGGGCAGAAGGTTCACTTTGCACTGGGGCTGAAAAATGAAAACACAAATGTTATTGCTTCAGTCATGTTGCTTTTATACGTTTGTGGGGAGGTGTGTACCTGCAGGAGCGGGTGCACTCAGAGCCTCTAGAGCCATCAGCATGGCTTTAGCGAAGGCAGCCCCGTCCTCTTTACTGCTGAAGTTCAGGCCCCACACCTGCCTGGAGTCTCTCCACTGGTGGAAACTCGGAGTGGCCTGGTTGTACTTCATCCCCTTCAGGATGGGACAGTTTATCACCACCTGCAACCATTGGATTCATTATTACCTTTAAGCAATACTATGCACTCTGAGGTTGGCCTTTTCTGAATTGCATATTAAGCAGCATGAGTATGAGACGCTTTAGTCGCTAGTTCTACTTTAAAACTGAAAACAGGAAGTTGAAATTTACCACAAAGTAATTTATAATACAAATGAGGAAGAGTCCTGTAGAAGATTGTGTTCAGCCAATAGCATGAAAACAGTTATTTTTGGTCGAGCTACAATGTTGTGAATTGAGTTACGTTTGTGAATATTAGGTTCTGACGGTGGTGACATTCTCAGCACCTTCCCATACAGTATTATTCAGTTTCAGTTTATTTATTATTTGGGCAGTAGTAAAACTTGCGTGCCCAGATTATTATTTTTACAAAAGTTATACATAATTTTGCCACAAAAAAGGGCCCTCCATTTATGACAATGTTCGGCTAATAGTAATAATGAGGAGTTAGAACTTTTCTTCTTCTTGCCTGGTGTTCAAACTTCCAAATGGTGCTGGTAAATGAAAGGATTTTGTGAGTTATCATGAAACAAACATGACATCCTCAAGAATATCCTCTCCAAATGTTTGCATTGTCAACATGGCTAATTACTCACACAAGGGCTTTCCACTCCACAATTTTGCCATTTCCTTTTTGCTGTTTTGTTGTATTAATTTGTGTGTTTGCAATTGTTTTGTTCCATTCCATTCCCTTTTCTTCCGCTTTATCCGTTGCTGGGTCGCGGGGGCAGCAGTCTAAGCAGAGACGCCCAGACTTCCCTATATCCACAATCAATAAAACTATGTCTCTTTCGGGTTCAGTGGCTGTACCTGCTGGTCGGCCTGGAGCTTGCGTCCCACCACTCTGAAGGTGTGGGCAGAGGGGTTGTGGTAGATGTGGACCCGACTCAGGGCTGGAGAGTCGGAGCCCGAGGGGATCCAGCGCTTGGAGCCGTCATCATACAGCATCACTGTGGCCCGAACCTGGCAGATACTGGACTCACTAGAGACAGGACAGAAACACAAACAAAAGTGGACAATAACAATCGGCCATGCAGTCAATCCAGATGTATGACTACTTTTACATATCAAAATAACAGAATAACTGACAGATTTGACAAAACACACAAGGCCAAACGCTCTCTGACCCCACACCTCTCTCCCACCACTTGCTCTGTGTCCTCTACCCTCTTACATCAGGATTAAGTGTTCTTCTAAATCATCACGTTGAAAGTGCAGCTCCTTGTACTGGGATAACATTTGGTTAAAGTATTTGTAAAGTTAGTAAGTTTTCCTAACTATGGGGGACTTTTTTGTAATCATGAGGAGCTTTTCAATCATGGAATAGAGATTTTTTTTGGCCTGCTCACAGGTCTCTCCAAACAGGCTGTAAAACAGCTGCAGTACACTCAAAATGCAGCAGCTCGAGTCCTGACTAGAACCAGGAAGTACGACCACATTAGTCCTGACTAGAACCAGGAAGTACGACCACATTAGTCCAGTCCTCAGGTCTCTGCGCTGGCTTCCTGTGGCTCAGAGAATAGACTTTAAAACAGCTCTGCTTGTTACAAGTCTCTCCATGGCCTCGCACCAAAATATATTAGTGACATGTTAGTCCCATATAAACCAGCCCGGACTCTGAGGAGCACAGGGACTGGACTCCTGCTGGGACTCTGAGGAGCACAGGGACTGGACTCCTGCTGGGACTCTGAGGAGCACAGGGACTGGACTCCTGCTGGGACTCTGAGGAGCACAGGGACTGGACTCCTGCTTGGACTCTGAGGAGCACAGGGACTGGACTCCTGCTGAGACTCTGAGGAGCACAGGGACTGGACTCCTGCTTGGACTCTGAGGAGCACAGGGACTGGACTCCTGCTGGGACTCTGAGGATCACAGGGACTGGGACTCCTGCTGGGACTCTGAGGAGCACAGGGACTGGACTCCTGCTGGGACTCTGAGGAGCACAGGGACTGGACTCCTGTTAGTGCCCAGAGTCAGAACTAAACATGGGGAGGCTGCTTTTCAGATTCATGCTGCTAAAATCTGGAACAATCTTCCTGAAGATGTGAGACAGGCCTCCTCTCTGACAATGTTTAAAGCCAGGTTAAAGACAGTTCTGTTTAGCTGTGCATACAACTGAGGGATTTTATATTTTTATCCTTTTAAAAAAAAATGTAATGTACTGTGATTATTTATGATTTTAATGCTTTCTTGTTTTGTTCAGCACTTTGAGTTGCCTTGTGTATGAATTGTGCTATACAAATAAACTTGCCTTGCCTTGCCTTGCCTTGCCTTACCCACATTTAACTTAAAATTATACAGCTATCTCAAATTACAAATAACCAATATACATTTATTTTAACGTGTGTGGAGCAACTCATTTTGTTTCCCACAGGGTCAGACAAAATGACCTTTAATTTGGTAAAGTCTAGGTCTGATAATGTCCATCTCTTGACGAGTCGATGACGTAACCTGCACTGTCCCAATTCTGCTTTTTTCGCACGCTTGTGACCTGCCACTCAAACCCTTGCACTTCAAACCAATGCACACTTTGTAGAGGAGCGTAGGCTGCAGTGTGGGTAATGGGACAGGGCCTAAGTGTTTCTTTGCATCTTCCCTGACGAGTGGCAACATGGGAGCCTCAAAACAACTCTGAAAACAACATTGTTCAACATCATGGTTTAGAGGAAGGATACAAAAAGATTTAGGCTTTCAGTTTCAACTGTGAGGAACATTGTGAGGAGTTGGATGACGACACGGACAGTTCTAGTTAAGGCTCGAAGTAGCAGACCAAGACAAATCTCGGACAAGCAGAGGTTGGAAAGAACAGTCAGAGCCACCACCGAGCGGCTTCAAAGACCTACAACATCAGCTGCAGACGGTGTCACTGCATCATGGACTGATCAGTCCACCTCTTTACAGAAGCAGAAGCAGTAATGCAGATAAAGCCTCTTCTCTACACATGCCACAAACAGTTGCTTGAGTCATAAGATAAGATAAGAGTTCCTTTATTCGTCCCACAGTGGGGAAATTTCGATGTTGCAGCGCACAGACAGGACAGTAGTAAGAGCACACAGGGATCACACAATATATACAAAATACGTAGTAGCTACGTTACATAACATAACTAGCTGTAGATGCTGAAAATGCTTCAATACCAGTCAAAAAATACCTGTATATACATGTAGTAGAGCAGAGTTATGTACTGCACATATAGAGCAGGATAATAAGTACTAAAGTGACATTGTTCTGTGACATTCTGAAGTTGCAGTATTGCACATTGCACATGATTTAAGAATTTACTTATTTACAGATGAATGAAATGTACAGGCTCAGCAGTTCTTATTGTACAGTCTGACAGCAGCAGGAAGGAAAGACCTACGGAACCTCTCCTTCACACAGCGAGGGTGAATTAGTCTGTCACTGAAGACAGAGAGAGTGTCCTGCAGGGGGTGACAGTCATGGTCCAGCATAGATGTTAGTTTGCTCAAGACCCTCCTGTCCCCCACCTGCTGCACTGTGTCCAGGGAACAGCCCAGGACTGAGCTGGACTTCCTGATGTTCCAGCTTCATCCCTTTCTGTGATGCTGCTGTTCCAGCAGACCACACCGTACAAGAGGCTGATGCCACCACAGAGTCATAGAAGGTCTTCAGGAGTGGCCCCTGCACTCCAAAAGACCTGAGTCTCCTCAGCAGGTAGAGCCGGCTCTGGCCCTTCTTGAAGAGGGCGTCCAGTCCAGTCCAGTTTGTGGTTCAGATGAACACCCAGGTACTTGTAAGAGTCCACTCTCTCGATGTCCTTTCCCTGGATGTACACTGGGGCTGGAGCGGCAGAATGACGTCTGCGGAAATCCACCACCATCTCCTTGGTCTTCCCCGCGTTGATGAGGAGGTGGTTCATTTCCTTGGTCTTCCTCACGTTGATGAGGAGGTGGTTCATCTCCTTGGTCTTCCTCACGTTGATGAGGAGGTGGTTCATCTCCTTGGTTTTCCCCGCGTTGATGAGGAGGTGGTCCATCTCCTTGGTCTTCCTCACGTTGATGAGGAGGTGGTCCATCTCCTTGGTCTTCCTCACGTTGATGAGGAGGTGGTTCATCTCCTTGGTCTTCCTCACGTTGATGAGGAGGTGGTCCATCTCCTTGGTCTTCCTCACGTTGATGAGGAGGTGGTTCCGCTGACACCAGTCCACAAAGTCCTGTATAACTCCTGTAGAACACAACCGTCCGTGTTGTGTCTGAAGTCCGCAGTGTAGAGGGTGAAGAGGAACGGCGCGAGGACAGTCCCCTGGGGGGCCCCCACACTGCCGGTCAGGACCTCAGACACAAAGTCCCTGGTTCTCACAAACTGGGGTCTGTCTGTGAGGTAGTCCAGGATCCACTGGGACAGGTCGTAGCCCACTCCAGCTGTCTCCAGCTTGTCCCTGAGCTAAAGCCCATTTGGACAGCTTCATTTTGGAATAAAGTAGTGTGGACTGATCAAACTAAAATCAAGTTATAAGGGCATAACAAGTGGAAAAATAACATAGCTACTGTACCTAGCTAACTACAGTAATGGTGCGTTCAGACCAAACGCGATTTCTGCGGCCAAAGCGGCGGGTCTACATTGACACAACATGGGGGACGCGCGCCAAGGAGCGGCGAGAGATCACGCGGCGCGATTCGCGCGGCCAGAGCGGCGCGAATTCGGCGTGTTTTGAGATGTCAAGCGTTTTGACGCGCGTTTCGCGCGATTCGTGCCTCCAACGCGGCCGCCGCTAGAGTTGAACAATGTTGAACTTTTTGGGAGAATTCGCGTGTGCCGACCAATCAGGAGCTTTCTCCTCCAGTGACGTAGTGACGCATTTCACTACCGGAAAAACACTGGTAGATGACAGCTATGGAGGACACGTCAATTGCTCAGGTCGGTGCTCATTCTGAGCTATATAACACTGCGGACCACAGCTACCGGGACCGAAATAAAAAGGAGCTTGCTTGGAGGAGGGTTAGCGAGGTGGTTGGTGTCTCGGGTAAGTTATTTTAACTTTTCACAGTAAATATTTCCCCGCGAAAAAAACTACTACTTTCCTGCTTACGAGTTGATGTGTTTATTCAGTGGAAGTTTGCAAAAAGCGGTGGAAGAATCTGAGGGACACATATGAGGTGCTGAAGGTCGGTGTCATGCAGCAAACGGAGACCTCGAACAGTTGGAAAAAATACATTTCTTTCCTTTCTATTACCCACATTTTGCTGACTTTTACATTTATATTGCTTTCTGTGTATGCATTTCTTTTAATGCTTTCTTAACATCATGGCCAGGTGAAAATAGGCATTGGCTATTTTCAAACCAGGATAGATCTTGATCATGTGTTGTGTTAAATTTCACTTTTCCCTTTTATATGAACAAATCATTTAAATGTACATAATAATGTACATTATTATGTACATATAAATGTCATAAGCGCAATGTACACATGATATGAAATAATTGTATTTCTTGTTTTCTTCTGGCGCAGATACTGCCACCACCACACAAGGTGAGACATCTTGGCCTGAGCTGCCTGCTGCTGCTGCTGCTTCCTCAGCCGGTTCTTCTTCTGTGAGGGCTGGACCTTCCCCTGCTTCTGCACCTACAGGTGTGGCTTTTTTTAATCATTGTTTTATTTTTATTCTTATTACAGGACTGTTCATATAAACAAAATGTTACTGCATAATATGCCAAAATTACCCAAGGGCTGTTACATCAGTGTAGACGACAAATTTACAGAGAAACGACAAGATGTCAAGGCACTACAGGTGGAAAGAAGCTTTGGTCTGATACAACACATCTTCCCTCTTTCTTTGATAAAAACATACTACTGAAATACCTTATGCTATAAAAGTACTGAACAAATACATGCAATGGTTGCCACAAGATGGCAGCTATCCTGTTTAATGCAGACAATAGAGTATTACTTTTTTTACAGCCAATTTCAAATTTCATTGCGAAATACACTTCAGAGATATTAGTTTGTAACTGTCGAAATTTGTGCTTGTGTGAGTAATTTCATTGATAACTGCAATGTTCAAGTTAATTGTAACAAACACACAACTTAAAAGTGTTTTACATGTGTTTAACTATGTCTACACACTCTGGCTTTAATACAGATATTATTTGCTCTCTTCATTTTGCTTTTTTGAAATACATGTTCCACTTTTTAACACTGTGATTGCCCTGTGTTCTTTGTTGGCGGCTCTACGGACGTGGGCCTCTTCCGAGCCCTCTTCCTTGGTGGGCCTTCAGAGTGGGAGCGGGAGCTGCTGGAGACTCTACGGACCAAAGCAGCCGGACCGCCCGACTACTCAGAAGAACATCAGTTCCTGCTCTCTCTCTTTCCTCTCCTGCAAAGGGTGGCACCAGAGTCAAAAGAATTTGTGAAATTCAAAATGTACCAACTTTTATATGAAAGCAGCACCGTTCTGCTTAATTTGGAACCATTGGCCAGTACAGTTTTTTTTACCTAAGGTGACACCTTTTGCAGGGGAGGAAACAGACATGTGTCCCTTTCCTCTTCCACCGCACCTCCTCCAAGCAAGCTCCTTTTCATTTGTTTATATGTACATTTCATTTATTTTTCATTGTTTGTTCCTTTTTTTATAAAGAAAATATTTTTCAAACCTCATGTGTTCTACTTCAAGCCAACCATTACTACCTTTCATATAATATTGACAGAAAATGCTATTCTATATTTGTACATTTACTTTTATAAGAGCTGACTGGGTTTTATAGAAGATGGAATAACAAACACTTAAAGAGCGATACAGTAGTTGACAGTATTTTTTATTCATTTCACCTTTTACTGTTTTAACAACCTTGTAATTACGTAAAAGCTTGAATGTGCATATGATTAACCTGAAGTTGGAGTGGAGTCGCAGTGGAGTCTGGCAGTCATTACCTAGAAACAGAAGGTATACAGGTGAATAGAATAGTGCAAATCAATATGGGTTTGGACTATGGCCAGATGTGGGTCAGTCTTGTGGTGGACATGACTACTCTGTGGGCTGCCACGGCAGTGCTCCCTCCTCACTGAAGTGGGCCATGAACACTTTCCTTATGTCCACTGCTGGCTTCCAGGCGGCCATCCGCTGCACGCCTGGAAGTGGTTCTTCACCGGCAGCAGCTCCCCTCGGTGCAGGAACCTGCCCATCTCCAGCCATCCTCATGGCTGGAGATGGGCAGGGCGCATTAAATTGCAGCGCAGTGAAAAGGCCTCATCTGCCACGAACACATGGGGCTGGGGTCCTCTGTGGTCAGCTCCAGGTATGCACTGGTCAGGAGGCAGGTCGAGTGTGCCCTCGCGCAGAGCCTCACCAAAGGCAGAGTTGGACACGATGCCTCCATCGCTGGATCTGCCGTACCCTCCCACATCAATCACCCTGAACCTGTACTGGGCATCCACTACAGCCAGGAGCACAAGGGAATGGTGCCCCTTATAATTAAAAAACATGGACCCAGAGTTGGGGGGTGCCTTCACAGCCACATGCTTCCCATCAATGGCCCCACAGCACAGAGGGAAGTTCCATCGGACCTCCACTCCTCTGCTCCAGGCACAGCCATGAACTCCTCCACGAGGCAGTCCCAGATGGCTGCCACCACATCTGGGATGAGCATGGAGACGGTGGATATGCCTGCTCTGAAGCTCCCCGCAATGGTCCTGTAGGAGTCCCCAGTGGCAAGAAACCTGCAATTACAAAATGATATGAACATATTTATCACAATTACATTCATAAAAATCACGTGACAAAACTTGTGTAGCATAAAATACGTTAAACTAGTAGACAGTAAACATCATAGACAGTAATCATAGACACCAAATTGTTGCATAATACTGTTTTCTGAGCAATTACATTGTGGATTGTGATTGAAAAATGACACACTTTGTAAGTATTTTGGAATTCCGAATGGGGTAAAAAACACTAACCACAGACAGATGGACAGGCGCTCTTCAGCTGGAATAGAGTTGGTGTCCTGGTAGGAGATCCTAGCGCCAATGCGGGTCAGTAGGTCGTCAAACTGGGCCAGGGAGAGACGAAAGTACCGCTGAAAGCGACCCTCATCCGAGCGCAGCTCCCGGAGCAAATGGTGAAACTCACCAAACTCCAACCGTCTACGGACTATCTGATGAATCCAGACACGTCGTCGATTCGCCCTTTGACGACGTGTCTGGCTTTATTTATCAGATAAAGCAACTCCTTCGCTGACATCCATGTTGGGAAGCTACAGGCAAAAGAGACAAGCCCCGCCCCTAAACGCTCTGTGACAGCGGCTGCCCTCTAGTGTCCTGGCCGCGCGGCCAAGTTTCTCTGTGACAGCGGCTGCCACAATTTGTCACAAGCGGCTCAAGCCGCGCGATAGACGCGATTTGGCCGCAGAAATCGCGTTTGGTCTGAACGCACCATAAAGCTACCAAGCTAACTACAGTAAAGCTACCGAGCTAACTACAGTAAAACTACCGAGCTAACTACAGTAAAGCTACCGAGCTAACTACAGTAAAGCTACCGAGCTAACTACAGTAAAGCTACCGAGCTAACTACAGTAAAGCTACCGAGCTAACTACAGTAAAGCTACCGAGCTAACTACAGTAAAGCTACCGAGCTAACTACAGTAAAGCTACCGAGCTAACTACAGTAAAGCTACCGAGCTAACTACAGTAAAGCTACCGAGCTAACTACAGTAAAGCTACCGAGCTAACTACAGTAAAGCTACCGAGCTAACTACAGTAAAGCTACCGAGCTAACTACAGTAAAGCTACCGAGCTAACTACAGTAAAGCTACCGAGCTAACTACAGCAAAGCTACCGAGCTAACTACAGTAAAGCTACCGAGCTAACTACAGTAAAGCTACCGAGCTAACTACAGTAAAGCTACCGAGCTAACTACAGTAAAGCTACCGAGCTAACTACAGCAAAGCTACCGAGCTAACTACAGTAAAGCTACCGAGCTAACTACAGTAAAGCTACCGAGCTAACTACAGTAAAGCTACCGAGCTAACTACAGTAAGATGTGGAAGTTTGCTGTGGGGGCTGTGTGTCCAGTGCAGGAACTGGGAATCTTGTTAAAGTTCAGGGGCGCATGGATACTCAATATCAGCAGATTCTGGAGAACAATATCCAAGAATCAATGACAAAGTTGAAGTTGCACATCGGCTGGTTTTTTTCAACAAGACAAAACCCCCAAAACACTGCTCAAAAAATACAAAGGCATTCAAACAGAAGAACACAATGTTCTGGAATTACCATCTCAGTCGCCAGACCTGAACATTATTGAACACATGTGGCGTGATTTAAAACAGGCAGAACCCAAGCTCAGGACCCATCAAACCTGACTGAACTAGAGACTTTGTGCAGAGAAGAATGATCCAATAGTGCAGACTCTGGCTTTTATTTCTGGAAGATTTTTATGTTTTGTGGACATGAAATTTATGCACATGCATAATTAATTCTACATTTTTTTGTTTTGTTTTACAATAAATTGATTATTGTTATTTCAATTCAATGAACAGTAGATTCAAATTTGACACAATTCTAACGCCCTTCTTTGCACGGTAACTGAGAATTGAAACAGCCCCCACACTTCAACCTATGGTGGTCACATTTATAAACTGTATAGAGCCTCTAAGACCTCTTTTCAAGACACAGTCCAGGATCGACAGCCTTATCGTCCGTGGAACGGATTCCTCTCAATGTGGGCCTCCTCCAGGTTTCTCATTTTTACCCATTGGGTTTTTGAGTTGTTTCTTTGGGTCTAAGGACAGACAGTGATGATCCAGGAAATGTATGGACATTTATGGATCGGATCTACCCACACATGTATACACCTGTGTACACAGACGCAGTTGTGCATACTGGACACACCTGACACACACCTGCCACACACCTGTTACACACCTGCCAACCTGTGTCCATCTGACTGTCAACACGTGATGTTTGCATCAGGAGCAGGATTCAGACACACTCTGTCCCCCCCCCCCCCCCCCCCCCCCCCCCCCCCTCCCCATGCATGAACGATGAGAGCAGAGCGTTGGTGTTCAGCCCACACTGAGCCCTTCCTAAAGAAGCAGCAGTAGCTTGCCCAAAGACACAGAGCTGGGGTCACATCATGAAGACATAAAAACAACATGGCCAGACACTACAGGAAACAGGCTGAGCTTATTTACTGCTCAGTCACAGATTATTTCAGAAGTGCCCGAACTGTGTGAGTGACCCTCCAAACAGTTTGTGACAGTTTGTCTGTGTTTACACGGGGAAGTTATCTGTGTGTTAAAACATTTTACACATTATTTTGACCTAAAAGACCATCATATTTAATTTTTCAAAAATGCAATTGGATAAAATGGAAAGACTACCATTTAAAAACATACTAAAATAACTAAAATATCTACCGGAAAAGAATTCGTCCAAAACATAGGATTAAATTATTATGAAACAAATAACCACGGGTGCAAAATATATGCTTCAAAAAGTTTCTACAAAAATGGACCTTCTGCAGCCTAAAACAGAAAGAGACAAAAAGTAATGTCACTTTTAAACGACACATAAAGAAGCTGGTCCATGTGGCTCCTGTGGAAACACTTTCAGCTCTGGGTTGTTTTACAGACGGTTTTCTGTTGATAAAGATTTAGGCCTAAATAGATTATTTTGGCTTCAAAATATATTAGTGACATGTTAGTACCATATGAACCAGCCCGGACTCTGAGGAGCACAGGGACTGGCCTCCTGCTGGGACTCAGAGGAGCACAGGGACTGGACTCCTGCTGGGACTCTGAGGAGCACAGGGACTGGACTCCTGCTGGGACTCTGAGGAGCACAGGGACTGGCCTCCTGCTGGGACTCTGAGGAGCACAGGGACTGGCCTCCTGCTGGGACTCTGAGGAGCACAGGGACTGGACTCCTGCTGGGACTCTGAGGAGCACAGGGATTGGACTCCTGTTAGTGCCCAGAGTCAGGACTAAACCTGGGGAGGCTGCTTTTCAGATTCATGCTGCTAAAATCTGGAACAATCTTCCTGAAGATGTGAGACAGGCCTCCTCTCTGACAATGTTTAAAACCAGGTTAAAAACAGTTCTGTTTAGCTGTGCTACAACTGAGGGTAGCTCAGTAGCTCAGTTGGTAGAGCATTGGCCTTAAGGCCAGAAGGTTGTGGGTTCAATTCCCACCTCTGCACCTTCTCCACCGACTCCCACTGATGACTGCTGTCGTTGTGTCCTTGGGCAAGACACTTAACCCCACTTTGCCCAAAGCCCCCACTGAAAGATCAAGGCTATGCTCACACTCAGAGAGCAGCCGTCCTCCTGTGGACTCACCACCTGCAGAGGGTCAGTGAGGGGCTGGTGCTATGAGACTTGGGTGCATCTCTGACTGCCACCCCCTGACCCAGAAATGGATTAAAGGGTAGAAAATGGATGGATGGACAACTGAGGGATTTTATATTTGTATCTTTTTAATGCACTGTGAATATTTATGCTTTCTTATTTTGTTCAGCCCTTTGAGTTGCCTTTGTATGAATTGTGCTATACAAATAAACTTGCCTGGTCTTGTGTAAATGAGATATAATATGATAATAATAATGCATCTGTTTTATAAGGCGCTTTTTTGGACACTCAAAGACGCTTCACATGTCATTACTCATTCTCTCCAAACACGGTGGTGATAAACTACTACTGTAGCCACAGCTGCCCTGGGGCACACTGACAGAAGCGAGGCAACCAGTCTGTGCCATCAGCCCCTCCCACCACCACCAACCGTTCATACACACACACCAGACTCATTCAAGGCAATGAAAAGCAGTGTCTTGCCAAAGGACACAACAGCAGTTTGGCACTTTACAGCCGCAGCCGCCCCACTGTGGCATATCCTACAGAAAGACTCATAAAAGTATCACGAGAACAAACCAGACCACAACAATCTGCCTTTTCTTATTAGAAAGACAAAGACAGAATGTTATAAACCTGTGTCACTAGTTCAGTCTTCGGGCTGTGAGCTGAGTGAGGTGGGCCTTTTATTGTAAGTCTCTGTCAGAAAAAGCTAAAAGCATGTGGTGCTGTCTGACCATTTTACAGCAAAGAGTTATTTAGATCTTATTTCTTTAGTTTGAAAAGTACCTCAGCTTGTTACCTTTGTTTGTAACACTAAATCTATCAACGCTAACCCAGACAGAATGCAGACAGAAGAAGTGGTGAAAAGTGCGACGGAAGAGATTTCACACAAAGATTTTACACCTTTTAATTTGTTTTACTTACATCAATAAAACAATCTTTTGAGTAAATTTCCCTGTTTTAAAGTTTTAAGTATATTATATTTGGTTATTAAAAATACTAGTGAGACGATGTACATGTTTTAGACCGTGTATGAAGGGTAAACGCTGCTCCTGTATCGTCCTGAGCTACCACCAGAGAGAGGAGTCAATGTGTTTCGTCTGATTTGTTCACGTTATGTTTTTATGAGTCTTTCTGTGGGATACAACAAAGTAAAAAGTCATGTACCCTAGCTTTAAAATCAATAAACAACAAATCTAGAATTTAAAATTGAATGAAAATGTGACATACCTCATATTTACAGAATGTTTCCAGTCTTTCTCTCTGAGCTTTGACCTTATTCCGAGTCCAGATTGTCAGAGAACTGTCTGTTTTCGCTCATAAATGCAGCTTTCTGTTGTGACACTTTGAAGTGCGGCACTTCCACATTTGCACACTTGTTTCCTACGCACTTTTTTCTCTTCACACTTCCTGTTCTTGTCTGCTCCCCAACCGTCTAATTGTCACGGTACACTTTGCTTGTATCATGGCTGCACAGAAACACATTTATTTTGAGTAACAGAAGAGTGACAGTAAGCATGTTAGTCAATTATTTCTAAATGGGTGATACTTTATCCAAAAACCATCGGGGCAGTGGAAGCCGTTATGCTTGGCTCCTCTGTTTATCGAAGACATCAAAGAAGTTTTTATCTTTGGATTTATGAGGCGACTGTGGCTCAGTTGGTACTGCATTGGCTTTTGGGCCTGAAGGTTGTTGGTTCAAGCCCACCACAAGACCTTCTTCACAACTCCCACTGATGACTGCTGTCGTTCAGTGGGAGTTGAACAAAAAACGTAACCCCACTTTGCCTGAAGCCCCCGCTGAATAATCGAGGCAGCTCAGACAGAGCAGCTGATAATACTGCTGTTTATTCTGGTCACATTCTCTGCAACGGAAATACAAAACGAACCATCTGTAAATGTGAAACCTGCTGACTCCACAAGTTACTTATCCTTGACCCAAGTGTAATTATATCTCCAGAGTTTATTATCTTACTATTTTAGTATTCTATTATCACTCAGTTTAGTTTAACAATTTATTTCAGTAATTTTTGTTCAATAAAAAAACAAAACATTTTCAGGCACATGAGGGAAAAAAGGTCAAAATAAGGCCTGAACAGACAGAGGCTAAAGCTCATAGACACCTTCAACTTAAACAGCTGCTACACACAGATCAGAATAACACATTTACTCCATAGTTATGGTCATTTTCTGCTCACAATTCACAATCAATAAATGTTAGAATGATATTCTTCTTCAGCAATGTTTTGAAACGTTGTACACTTCTGCAGTAAGTAATCTTTATTTATATACCGCCTTTTACAGACCAGAGTCACAAAGCGGTTTACAATTCTCAGGAGGTACGTACTTTCCCTCCTCTGAAGCAGGTTCAGGATGGGGAACTCTTTATTCTTTACCTTTGTGCAGGTTTAAAGTTCACCAAGTCCTTGAATTTCAGGCTTTTTTCTTGATGAAAAGTTTATTTGTATTTGCAAGTATTATGAATTTAGATTTCTTTATGTTTAGTTAGTTTGAAAATATTGAACAAATGGTTTGACATAAACTATGTATTTTTTACTGCCACAACAAAGTATATTAATGTCGTCTGTAAATAATACAAAGTGCAGAGTTTTAGAAACTAAGCGTAAATCATGAATGTTCAGAATAAACAAAATAAACAATAAATGACTCAACACTGCCCCCTGGCGGAGTGCACAGGTCACTGACAGTGTCTCTGAATCAGTGCCATCAATCTGGACATATTGGGATCTTTTACCCAAATAACTTTGGATCCAAGAAAGGGTCAAACCTCCTGATCCCAAATCCTCAACAAAAAAACATGATTAACTGTATCCAGCGCTGTGGTTAGATCTCGGAACACACCAATGGCATATTGTTTGTTTTCGATTGTGTTTATTATATTTTCCATCAGGTCTAAAGCTGAAGTGGTTGTTGAGCCAAGTCTGAAGCTATATTGCTGTTCACAGAGAATATTGTATTTTTCAAGATACTTGTATAATCTGATGTGAAATAATTTGGATAATATAGAAATGGGTCAGTAAGTTTGTGTAAGCCCTCAGTCGTACAGGGATTAGTCAAAGCAAAGGAAGGTTTCTCACCCATCATCTGTACTTCTTAGCAATTTTTCCCGACGTTTTGTCCTCAACCTAGCGGACTTCTTCAGGGAATGAATTCTCAGACCGCGCGTTGGAGATTTATATCCTATGGGTGTGGTTAGCCACACCCTAACCCTGATACTAACTCATAAACAATCTCAGGTCTGTTTGATGTAGAAGGGAGCAGGTCTAACGACCCTGCTGAGGCTAACGACCCTAACTCATTAGCATGTCACTGACCTTGTCCCAAGTTAGGGCGTTGTGGGTCAGTAATTTATAAATACATGTTTATCACTGGACTTGTAAATCGGGATGACTTTTGGGAATATCCCTGTTTGTAAAGACAGGTTGAGTAAATATGTGGCTGGAAATACTACATGGTTGATTATTTCTTTCCACAGTGACAGGTTTACTTTTGAATGCACTAGAAATAACAGCTCTAAGAAGCTCTGAAACTGTTGTTGTTTTTGTGCTTTACAATCGTTTGTAAAGCTGCTGTGACCTAACCTTGCCTGCAAGCTGAATTCTCGCGGTATTTGTGAGTTCACAAACACTCGAGAATACATCTTGTACCGCTCCCGCTTACACTTTTCGAGTCGAACCACTGGGTGTGCGAGCCAATCACGCGCCAGTCTGGGGGTTTAGGGCGGGATATCCGGGTTTGACGAAAGCAAGAAGTGCCGGGCCGAAGCAAAACAAACATGGCTACGCAGGAGGACGGACGCAAAGTCAGTTTTAGCAGGATCTCCAATTTCTTTTTTGAAAGATGAACAGCGAGAGGCGCTTTGTACATTTCTGGACGGCAACCTTGGTAGGCGGGCACACAGCGTCACTTCGCCCAATCAGCTTCAAGTATTCTGCTGCTTACCCCTCCTTTCCCCGAAAGGATTCTCCGGGAGAAATCCCAGATTGATATCGCGGAGAACGCGTTAGAGTTCTACACAATCATCAATCTGGCTTTTGCCAGGTTAGCTGTGACCCGTCCTGCTCCACCCAGAGACTACTCCACCTCTGCTGCTGTGACCCGTCCTGCTCCACCTGGAGGCCACTCCACCTCTGCTGCTGTGACCCGTCCTGCTCCACCCAGAGACTACTCCACCTCTGCTGCTGTGACCTGTCCTGCTCCACCCAGAGACTACTCCATCTCTGCTGCTGTGACCGTCCTGCTCCACCCAGAGGCTTCTCCACCTCTGCTGCTGTGACCCGTCCTGCTCCACCCAGAGGCTTCTCCACCTCTGCTGCTGTGACCCGTCCTGCTCCACCCAGAGACTACACCACCTCTGCTGCTGTGACCCGTCCTGCTCCACCTGGAGGCCACTCCACCTCTGCTGCTGTGACCCGTCCTGCTCCACCTGGAGGCCACTCCACCTCTGCTGCTGTGACCCGTCCTGCTCCACCCAGAGACTACTCCACCTCTGCTGCTGTGACCTGTCCTGCTCCACCCAGAGACTACTCCATCTCTGCTGCTGTGACCGTCCTGCTCCACCCAGAGGCTTCTCCACCTCTGCTGCTGTGACCCGTCCTGCTCCACCCAGAGACTACACCACCTCTGCTGCTGTGACCCGTCCTGCTCCACCTGGAGGCCACTCCACCTCTGCTGCTGTGACCCGTCCTGCTCCACCCAGAGACTACTCCACCTCTGCTGCTGTGACCTGTCCTGCTCCACCTGGAGGCCACTCCACCTCTGCTGCTGTGACCCGTCCTGCTCCACCCAGAGACTACTCCACCTCTGCTGCTGTGACCTGTCCTGCTCCACCCAGAGACTACTCCACCTATGCTGCTGTGACCGTCCTGCTCCACCCAGAGGCTTCTCCACCTCTGCTGCTGTGACCCGTCCTGCTCCACCCAGAGACTACACCACCTCTGCTGCAGTGACCCGTCCTGCTCCAATCAGAGACTACACCCTCTCGGCTGCTGTGACCCGTCTTGCTCCACCCAGAGACTACACCCTCTCGGCTGCTGTGACCCGTCCTGCTCCACCCAGAGACTACACCACCTCTGCTGCTGTGACCCGTCCTGCTCCACCCAGAGACTACTCCACCTCTGCTACTGTGACCCGTCCTGCTCCACCCAGAGACTACACCTGCTCTGCTGCTGTGACCCGTCCTGCTCCACCCAGAGACTACTCAACCTCTGCTGCTGTGACCCGTCTGCTCCATCCAGAGACTACTCCACCTCTGCTCTTGTGACCCGTCCTGCTCCACCCAGAGACTACTCCACCTCTACTGCTGTGACCCGTCCTGCTCCACCCAGAGACTACACCACCTCTGCTGCTGTGACCTGTCCTGCTCCACCCAGAGACTACTCCACCTCTGCTGCTGTCACCTGTCCTGCTCCACCCAGAGACTACTCCACCTCTGCAACTGTGACCCGTCCTGCTCCACCCAGAGACTACACCACCTCTACTGCTGTGACCCGTCCTGCTCCACCCAGAGACTACACCACCTCTGCTGCTGTGACCTGTCCTGCTCCACCCAGAGACTACACCACCTCTGCTGCTGTGACCCGTCCTGCTCCACCCAGAGACTACACCACCTCTGCTGCTGTGACCTGTCCTGCTCCACCCAGAGACTACTCCACCTCTGCTACTGTGACCTGTCCTGCTCCACCCAGAGACTACACCTGCTCTGCTGCTGTGACCCGTCCTGCTCCACCCAGAGACTACTCAACCTCTGCTGCTGTGACCCGTCTGCTCCACCCAGAGACTACTCCACCTCTGCTCTTGTGACCCGTCCTGCTCCACCCAGGGACTACTCCACCTCTACTGCTGTGACCCGTCCTGCTCCACCCAGAGACTACACCACCTCTGCTGCTGTGACCTGTCCTGCTCCACCCAGAGACTACACCACCTCTGCTGCTGTGACCCGTCCTGCTCCACCCAGAGACTACACCATCTCGGCTGCTGTGACCCGTCCTGCTCCACCCAGAGACTACTCCACCTCTGCTGCTGTGACCCGTCCTGCTCCATCCAGAGACTACACCACCTCTGCTGCTGTGACCCGTCCTACTCCACCCAGAGACTACTCCACCTCTGCTGCTGTCACCTGTCCTGCTCCACCCAGAGACTACTCCACCTCTGCTACTGTGACCCGTCCTGCTCCACCCAGAGACTACTCCACCTCTGCTGCTGTGACCTGTCCTGCTCCACCCAGAGACTACTCCACCTCTGCTGCTGTGACCGTCCTGCTCCACCCAGAGACTACTCCACCTCTGCTGCTGTGACCCGTCCTGCTCCACCCAGACACTACTCCACCTCTGCTACTGTGACCCGTCCTGCTCCACCCAGAGACTACACCACCTCTGCTGCTGTGACCCGTCCTGCTCCACCCAGAGACTACACCACCTCTGCTGCTGTGACCTGTCCTGCTCCACCCAGAGACTACACCACCTCTGCTGCTGTGACCTGTCCTGCTCCACCCAGAGACTACTCCACCTCTGCTGCTGTGACCCATCCTGCTCCACCCAGAGACTACTCCACCTCTGCTGCTGTGACCTGTCCTGCTCCACCCAGAGACTACACCACCTCTGCTGCTGTGACCTGTCCTGCTCCACCCAGAGACTACTCCACCTCTGCTACTGTGACCCGTCCTGCTCCACCCAGAGACTACACCACCTCTGCTGCTGTGACCCGTCCTGCTCCACCCAGAGACTACTCCACCTCTGCTGCTGTGACCCGTCCTGCTCCACCCAGAGACTACACCACCTCTGCTGCTGTGACCCGTCCTGCTCCACCCAGAGACTACACCACCTCTGCTGCTGTGACCCGTCCTGCTCCACCCAGAGACTACACCATCTCGGCTGCTGTGACCCGTCCTGCTCCACCCAGAGACTACACCATCTCGGCTGCTGTGACCCGTCCTGCTCCACCCAGAGACTACACCATCTCTGCTGCTGTGACCTTCTTACTGTTGTTTGCTACTTTTAGAATTATGTATTTGTTTATTTATCTAATCCATCAGAGTCCGATGAATTTTTACTTTAACATTTCTTATCAATGGAAAGGGTTTCATTTTCATCTTTTTTTTTCCCAATTAGAATTTTTTTTACTGAAGTAATTATTAAATTAATTTGTGATATAATTATCTATTATCTTAAATAATATCGTATTTATCCTACTATTCTGCAGTAATGTGCGTAGTTACACTAAAAAACAAAAACATTTCTTTCCGAGATAAATAAAGGTTTGTCTTTTTCTCTTAATTTGACTTTCTTTTAGCTTTCTCCCATTTTTCTCTCCAAGACCTGAACTTGTTTGTAATTTTTAGATGGTGCTAAAGGATTCCTGTTATATCTGCAGTCTCCTGGTCGGGTTCTCAATCCTAAAGCCTCCTCCGGTGAAATGTGGCTTGTTGATCAGCTGCGGCAGACGCTCCACGTGTTCCACTTTATTCATATTCTTTGATTCGCTGTGGAAATGACATAATGATTGCTGTGTCCATTATGTGTTTGGAATCATCGATGTAGAGTCGTCCAAATATTACCTCTGCAGCTTCTTGTGACCGAGGTACTTTCTCTTGATGTTGGCCAGCTCGTCGGCCAGTCTCTGATTCTCGCTCTTGCACTCGCTCACTTTGCAGTCTGTCAGTGTGATCTCAGCCATCAGCAACTGCGGGAAAACCATGGACCATAAACGTACTAGGAGTGGACTGACAGAGTGCTGAAGTCACATAGTGTTTTTAGAATGGAGAAGAAACTGATTTGAACATAAGCTAGCTGCATGGAGCCAATGTCTTTGTGTGGGAATTTGTTCTGATGGGGGAACCTACGCGCCGTGGCAGGGGTAGATTGAAACAAATGTGTTGCTATGATGGTTGTTAACTCTCTCCCCCCTCACCTCTGGAACTCTCTCCCCCCTCACCTCGGGAACTCTCTCCCCCCTCACCTCGGGAACTCTCTCCCCCCTCACCTGTGGAACTCTCTCCCCCCTTCACCTCGGGAACTCTCTCCCCCCTCACTTCGGGAACTCTCTCCCCCCTCACCTCGGGAACTCTCTCCCCCCTCACCTGTGGAACTCTCTCCCCCCTCACCTCGGGAACTCTCTCCCCCCTCACCTGTGGAACTCTCTCCCCCCTCACCTGTGGAACTCTCTCCCCCCTTCACCTCGGGAACTCTCTCCCCCCTGTAATGACAGTTTTTAGAGTAATTAAATTAGAACCAGCCGCAGCAAATACACGGACGTCAAAGGCCTTTAATCAATGCAGAGACGACCTTCTGACGCCATGCTGAGTTTTGTGAAGGCCTCTACTGTCTGCTCCTCTCACACCTAAGACAAAGGCCTTTCGCATCTTGCATCTGTATGCTTGCATTTCTACATCCTGCATGACCATTGTCTGTCTGTTCGCACCTCCATGCCACTGTCTGATTGCCTCACCACGGGGATGGCGCCTACGCTCACACACAGGCGCACACACACACACACATACATCCCACACACCCCCCACCCTACCGCCCTTTTTCCCCTACTAACAATAAGTGTGCACCCAAACAAGGCGTTGGGTTTTTAAAAAATGAGCAGACTACTGTTGTCCCTTTTTCCTCTCCCTGTCCAGGTCTGTCGGCGCTTTCCTCCGCGCTCTCCCTCTGCCTCAAAGCCCCAGCACCAGCCCCACGCCCCAACCACGGCGGCGCTCGCACCAGCTGAGACCCCGCGAGAAGTGGGCCCAAACCCGGGAGCAGAAGAAGAAGCGGCGGAAGCAGATACACGCTCAGGAAACCGCAGAAGAAGAAGCGGCGGAAGCAGATACACGCTCAGGAAACCGCAGAAGAAGAAGCGGCGGAAGCAGATACACGCTCAGGAAACCGCAGAAGAAGAAGCGGCGGAAGCAGATATGTGAGACACCGACAACTGCTTTGGAGGCCAGAGACAAACTGCTCCAAATCCCGTGACTGTTCCCCACGGAGGCGGCAGCGTGAAACACAAAACGCACCCGCTGAAACCTCGTTGAAGGTTGCCCCCGCACCGCAAACAGAAGAAGCCATTGAGACCGGCACGTTTGGATATTAACCAACCCTCATGGACCACAGGCTAACATCATTTGAACGCTTTGGGCTACCTGGGCCTCCTGCGGACTTTGAGAAACTTCCACAGCCCGGCGGAAAGACTGTGTGCTCGACATGGGTCGAAGGACTGTTACCGGAGGAGGCGTTAAAGGCAGAGGAACGCTCAAGCTCACACGGGGCCAGAGGACGGCAGAGGCGGGCGTGGAGGAAACACGAGCGACTGACCAAACCCGGGTTCACATTCGTCACCAAAGCGACCGCTCATGTAAGTTTGAACAACAACAAATTGCAATTGGCACTTTTTAGAGACAATTCATGCTAAATTTCCAGAACATACGCTAACAATTTGTGGCGAAAATGTTACTTTTCTAGTTGACTCCGGGGCAACAAATTCTGTGCTAAAAAGTGACAGCCTTTCTGTCTCCCCTAAAATGAGTGGCCGCTTCACATTCTCATTAGCAGCGTGGGGAGAGACGACTAAAGAGCAATTTACGTCACCGCTAACGTGTTTTGATTCTCAGGGCAACCAGCTTAAACATTCGTTTCTATATTCCCCATTGTGCCCGGTTAATCTACTAGGCCGAGACCTTATGTGCAGACTCAATTTAAATCTGCTCTCAACACCAAGCGGCCTACGGGTGGTACACGCTAGTGACCTAGCAAATGCTCCATGTTTCACCGGCATGCACAAGGAGGCACCGGTCCCAAAAGTTAACTACCACTGGAAATTGACACCAAACCCTGAGAGTGCTAAGCTATTAGCCACAACAGTGGATAGAGTGACGCCCGCACAAAATTTGGAGGTCAACCACGCGAACGACCTAAGCTGCTCTCTCCGGTCGTTCCCAGACAATAACTTGGAGTTTGAAAATTCATGGCTTCAGTGTAGTGAAGATAGGCTACAAACGGAGTATGTTTATTGGGATAGGCACCACTCTATGGTATCTGTGCTACTTAATGAGCAACAAAAACATTTTATCGTGAAACAAAGGTGAAGTATTAAAGTTTGAGACTAATTTACATTTTTAATGAATCCGACCTGGCTTTATTGAAAAAGAAAAAAGAAGGAAAATAAACATTTTCAAGTAACAAGAGCTCATTAGAGATATAGGGGACACAATCTGTGATAAGCCCGAAGTACAGACCACGTGGTAAACACTAAAGTTGGAAATGGATCCTTTTAGGAAAAACCTCTTAACGCTCTGCATGTTCTGCAGGCTCTGAAAGTTGCAACAATAGAAATAGCTCATGAGACAATTGTAATTGGACATGGAAAAATATAACAAAGTTAAAATTACAGGCCTTCTGTGTTGTTATATGTTTGTGTATGTTATATGTTTGTGCGTCATGTCAAATACACTACGTTGACCTTAACAAACTGGACCAATATACTAACGTGGGGTGTTGTGAGTGTGTTGTGGAGTGAACGAGGAGTGCTGAACGGAATCATGGAATAACAAATGTTTCTGTAATGTTTTAATGTGATCATGGAATAATTATTTTTTTTGTCAACAGCATACGGTGTAAGTACTAGAGATTCAAAGATAACAAGCTTTATTGAACAGGTGTAAAAGTGAGAGTACTCTGGGATGAGTACTCTGAGAAAAGTACTCTGCGGAAAGTACTCGGAGATGAAATACCTTGCTGAAGATATTGGGAGTCCCTCCCTCTGCTGTTTGCCCTGACAGTGATTCGGTCCAACCGCAGTGAGCTGTCGTTGGTTGAAGGACAACTTTGGTTTGTAAACTCACATTTAGGGGAGTATAAAATTAGAAACATACATTTTGTTAAGTCTGTATTTGGCTACAGCCTCCGCCCTGATGTCACACACCGTCTGTCAATACAGTTATGTTTTGCCCAATTGGAAAAAAGATTGACAGGCGGCACAATGCCAGGGAAAGTGGGCATTTTTTGTGTTTTTTGTGTTCTAATATTTCTTTTTCAGATGAGAGATAAACTACCCCTGCTTCAGGGATGACAGTAGTATGGATCATGAGGAAATGAGCCTCTACCTTGGCACCAAAGCCCACAATATGAATTGAGGACGATCCGGAAGAAAAGCAACTGGAGATGAACGGAACAGCAAATCTACACACACACACTAGGTCTCCCTGACCCAACCCGGCCAATTCACTCAGACTGTGGATGAGCGGTGTGGGTGCATGGTGTCGGTACTTTTGCAGTCTCACGGAGGGCCACTGAGACCCACTGCTCACTTCTCAGCAAAACTCGATCCCGTGGCAGCAGGGTTGCCTCGCTGCCTGCGGGCTGTGGCTGCCGCTGAGAAAGCGGCCCTAGCATCACGTGACCTTGTGGGATACACTGAACTAACTTTGCTTGTGCCCCATGCTGTTTCCCTGATCCTGCTAGAGCAGAAAACCTCTCACCTTTCTGCGGCTCGTTGGCTGAAATACAACACGGTGCTCTTTGAACTCCCCAATGTCACGGTGAAAAGATGCACACAGCTGAACCCCTCCTCACTGCTGCCCACGCCAGAGGAAGGGGAGGAACACTGCTGTATCGCCACAATAGAACAGATATGCACTCCCAGGCCAGACCTGAAAGAGGTGCCTCTGACTAATCCTGACTTGATTTTTTATACAGAAGGATCCGCGTCACGTGACAACACTGGGAAGAACCGAGTCGGCTATGCTGTGTGCTCTGATTTTGATACTATAGACTCTGGTAGTTTGCCCCACTACCATTCAGCACAAACCGCTGAACTGATCGCGCTCACCAGGGCTTGTGAGCTGGCAGCGGGCAAAACTGTTAACATATTCTGTGATACGCGTTATGGTTTCTCTGTGGTGCACGACTGGGGAGCACTGTGGAAACACCGCAATTTTATGAAATCTGATGGTAAACCAATTCTTAATTCCACACAGGTTGAACGTCTGCTGAAAGCTGTAATGTTGCCCTTAGAGATCGATGTATGCAAATGCCAGGCCCACACTAATGCCACTGATCCCATCTCTGCAGGGAATCGGCGCGCGGACAAGGCAGCGGCATACGCACCTCTACACACACACACACACTACCTCACTCAAGACGTTGATATTTTCTCCTCTCTGTCAGCGATGCAGGCACTGGCTACTCCAGCAGAGACGCTGCTGTGGGAGGGGAATGGGGCTCAACGACGGCATGGTGTGTGGCTGGGACCAGACAGCAAACCGTGCCTACCACGGCATTTCTTCAGACAGTTTGAAATTTTAGCACATGGTCGAGACCATGCCTCAAAAGGAGGGATGTGTGATTTAATCACACAAAATTGGTGTACAAAGGGGTTTACGGCATTTGCACAGAGATTCTGCCAAACATGCGCTATCTGCCCCGCGCACAACCCAGGTAAGTCCCAAATTATCCAACAGGCTGCTCATCCTCCGCCCCTGCGCCCATTTCAACATGTCCAAAGGGACTTTGTTGAACTCACACCATGCCAAGGTAAGAAATACTGTCTGGGCCTGGCGGATCTCTGGTCCAAATGGACTGAATATTTGCATGCAAACACGCCACGAGCAACGCGGTGGTGAAAGCTCTGCTCACAGAAATTGTGCCACGATGGGGTGTCCCGAGGGAAAATCTCTAGTGACAATGGCAGTCACTTTGTAGCAAAAGTCATTGAGGAAGTGGGTGAATTTCTGGGCATTGATATACGTAAACACTGCAGTTACGCCCCCTGGTCCGGAGGCGCGTGCGAGCGAGAGAATGGCACTCAAAGCTCTGCCGCTAGCCCTCATGTACATGCGCATGAGAGTCCCATTCGAAATCCTCTTTGCCAGACCACCCAACTTGGGCGCGGGACCCCCGAACAGAGATCTGCCAAGCACCTCTTTGTGTGATGACGACATGCTGTCCTATTGTAAGGAAATTAATGCACTTTTGCCCTCTATTTCTGCCCAGGTCAGGAGCGCCCTGCCACAGGCTGCGCAGGCGGCTCCGCACAAGATCAAGCCAGGCGACTGGGTCCTGGTGAAGGAAACGAGACGACAACATTGGCGGTCCAAGCGCTGGCTGGGCCCAGACCTCGTCCTCCTGGTGACGGACACTGCCGTTACCACTGTCGTGCGGTGCTGCCACTGAGGGCCATAGACGAGGACACCGAGGGTGGGGACGGACCAGGCCCATCCGCGGCTCCCTACGCTGAAGAGGTCGGCCGGCGTGCGACCACCGTCGGTGAAGCAGGCCAACAACAACACCCAGAGAATCCCAGCGTTCCCGAGGCGACCCCCTTTGCCCATCTCCCTTGCCCCCGGACCCCAAGGTCACACCCCGAAGTGCCGAGGCCAAAGCCCCAACGCGATTAGGGTCTTGCCGCTCCAAGACCGAACATCGCCATGCCGCGGAAAAGACTACAGAACCCCCGCGTAGCAGGCTAATACCGGCATGGGCCCGTGGCATATTATGTCGGACACACTGTCCGCACTCTTATCGCTGTCCGGATCCATTGTGTTATTATAATGTGCTCTTTCTTTTATTGACAAGCAGGTTTCTTTTCTTGTCCACTTTGGACAGCAATAATTTAAGTGTTTCAAGCTTGAAGGTGATGTGATTACGATGCCTCTGGTATTTAACTGATTAATGCAAAAATGGTTTTGAATTATCAAAAGAGGGGAGTGTAATGACAGTTTTTAGAGTAATTAAATTAGAACCAGCCGCAGCAAATACACGGACGTCAAAGGCCTTTAATCAATGCAGAGACGACCTTCTGACGCCATGCTGAGTTTTGTGAAGGCCTCTACTGTCTGCTCCTCTCACACCTAAGACAAAGGCCTTTCGCATCTTGCATCTGTATGCTTGCATTTCTACATCCTGCATGACCATTGTCTGTCTGTTCGCACCTCCATGCCACTGTCTGATTGCCTCACCACGGGGATGGCGCCTACGCTCCCTATGCGCCTCCTGTACCGGTGGCCCCCTCCCATCTGTTGTGGGCGTGACTGTCTTTCATGTGTTGTCTATGTAACAGGAACCTGAGCTCTGCGCGGCAGAGCTGGTGTATGCTGCCTTTTGTATATGTTAGCTCTCCGCACGTGTGTACAATAAACTTACGCTCCTGATTAAGACAAATACTTTTGAGCTTTCTCCTTGCTTTGGATAGAAACTTCTATAACACCCCTCACCTCGGGAACTCTCTCCCCCCTCACCTCTGGAACTCTCTCCCCCCTCACCTCGGGAACTCTCTCCCCCCCTCACCTCGGGAACTCTCTCTCCCCCCTCACCTCGGGAACTCTCTCCCCCCTTCACCTCGGGAACTCTCTCCCCCCTTCACCTCGGGAACTCTCTCCCCCCTCACCTCTGGAGCTCTCTCCCCCCTTCACCTCGGGAACTCTCTCCCCCCTCACCTCGGGAACTCTCTCCCCCCTCACCTCTGGAACTCTCTCCCCCCTCACCTCTGGAACTCTCTCCCCCCTTCACCTCGGGAACTCTCTCCCCCTTCACCTCGGGAACTCTCTCCCCCCTCACCTCTGGAACTCTCTCCCCCCTTCACCTAGGGAACTCTCTCCCCCTTCACCTCGGGAACTCTCTCCCCCCTCACCTCTGGAACTCTCTCCCCCCTCACCTCGGGAACTCTCTCCCCCCTCACCTCTGGAACTCTCTCCCCCCTCACCTCTGGAACTCTCTCCCCCCTTCACCTCGGGAACTCTCTCCCCCTTCACCTCGGGAACTCTCTCCCCCTTCACCTCGGGAACTCTCTCCCCCCTCACCTCGGGAACTCTCTCCCCCCTCACCTCTGGAACTCTCTCCACCCTCACCTCGGGAACTCTCTCCCCCCTTCACCTCGGGAAGTCTCTCCCCCCTCACCTGTGGAACTCTCTCCCCCCTTCACCTCGGGAACTCTCTCCCCCCTCACCTCGCGAACTCTCTCCCCCCTCACCTCTGGAACTCTCTCCCCCTTCACCTCGGGAACTCTCTCCCCCCTCACCTCGGGAACTCTCTCCCCCCTCACCTCGGGAACTCTCTCCCCCCTCACCTCGGGAACTCTCTCCCCCCTTCACCTCGGGAACTCTCTCCCCCTCACCTCTGGAACTCTCTCCCCCCTTCACCTCTGGAGCTCTCTCCCCCCTTCACCTCGGGAACTCTCTCCCCCCTCACCTCGGGAACTCTCTCCCCCCCTCACCTCGGGAACTCTCTCCCCCCTCACCTCGGGAACTCTCTCCCCCCTTCACCTCGGGAACTTTCTCCCCCCTTCACCTCGGGAACTCTCTCCCCCCTCACCTCTGGAGCTCTCTCCTCCCTTCACCTCGGGAACTCTCTCCCCCCTCACCTCAGGAACTCTCTCCCCCCTCACCTCTGGAACTCTCTCCCCCCTCACCTCTGGAACTCTCTCCCCCCTTCACCTCTGGAACTTTCTCCCCCCTTCACCTCGGGAACTCTCTCCCCCCTCAACTCGGGAACTCTCTCCCCCCCTCACCTCGGGAACTCTCTCCCCCCCTCACCTCGGGAACTCTCTCCCCCCTCACCTCGGGAACTCGGAACTCTCTCCCCCTTCACCTCGGGAACTCTCTCCCCCCTTCACCTCGGGAACTCTCTCCCCCCTCACCTCTGGAGTCTCTCTCCCCCCTTCACCTCGGGAACTCTCTCCCCCCTCACCTCGGGAACTCTCTCCCCCCTCACCTCTGGAACTCTCTCCCCCCTCACCTCTCGAACTCTCTCCCCCCTTCACCTCTGGAATTTTCTCCCCCCCTTCAACTCGGGAACTCTCTCCCCCCTCAACTCGGGAACTCTCTCCCCCCCTCACCTCGGGAAACTCTCTCCCCCCTCACCTCGGGAACTCTCTCCCCCCTCACCTCGGGAACTCTCTCCCCCCTCAACTCGGGAACTCTCTCCCCCCTCACCTCTGGAACTCTTTCCCCCCTCACCTCGGGAACTCTCTCCCCCCTCACCTCTGGAACTCTCCCCCCTCACCTCGGGAACTCTCTCCCCCCTCACCTCTGGAACTCTCTCCCCCCTCACCTCTGGAACTCTCTCCCCCCTCACCTCGGGAACTCTCTCCCCCCTCACCTCTGGAACTCTCTCCCCCCTTCACCTCGGGAACTCTCTCCCCCTTCACCTCGGGAACTCTCTCCCCCCTCACCTCTGGAACTCTCTCCCCCCTTCACCTAGGGAACTCTCTCCCCCTTCACCTCGGGAACTCTCTCCCCCCCTCACCTCTGGAACTCTCTCCCCCCTCACCTCGGGAACTCTCTCCCCCCTCACCTCTGGAACTCTCTCCCCCCTCACCTCTGGAACTCTCTCCCCCCTTCACCTCGGGAACTCTCTCCCCCCTTCACCTCGGGAACTCTCTCCCCCCTCACCTCTGGAACTCTCTCCCCCCTCACCTCGGGAACTCTCTCCCCCCCTCACCTCGGGAACTCTCTCCCCCCTCACCTCGGGAACTCTCTCCCCCTTCACCTCGGGAACTCTCTCCCCCCTTCACCTCGGGAACTCTCTCCCCCCTCACCTCTGGAGCTCTCTCCCCCCTTCACCTCGGGAACTCTCTCCCCCCTCACCTCGGGAACTCTCTCCCCCCTCACCTCTGGAACTCTCTCCCCCCTCACCTCTGGAACTCTCTCCCCCCTTCACCTCTGGAACTTTCTCCCCCCCTCAACTCGGGAACTCTCTCCCCCCTCAACTCGGGAACTCTCTCCCCCCCTCACCTCGGGAACTCTCTCCCCCCTCACCTCGGGAACTCTCTCCCCCCTCACCTCGGGAACTCTCTCCCCCCTCAACTCGGGAACTCTCTCCCCCCTCACCTCTGGAACTCTTTCCCCCCTCACCTCGGGAAACTCTCTCCCCCTTCACCTCTGGAACTCTCTCCCCCCTCACCTCGGGAACTCTCTCCCCCCTCACCTCTGGAACTCTCTCCCCCCTCACCTCTGGAACTCTCTCCCCCCTCACCTCGGGAACTCTCTCCCCCCTCACCTCTGGAACTCTCTCCCCCCTTCACCTCGGGAACTCTCTCCCCCTTCACCTCGGGAACTCTCTCCCCCCTCACCTCTGGAACTCTCTCCCCCCTTCACCTAGGGAACTCTCTCCCCCTTCACCTCGGGAACTCTCTCCCCCCTCACCTCTGGAACTCTCTCCCCCCTCACCTCGGGAACTCTCTCCCCCCTCACCTCTGGAACTCTCTCCCCCCTCACCTCTGGAACTCTCTCCCCCCTTCACCTCGGGAACTCTCTCCCCCTTCACCTCGGGAACTCTCTCTCCCCCTTCACCTGGGAACCTCCCTCGGAACTCTCTCCCCCCTCACCTCGGGAACTCTCTCCCCCCTCACCTCGGGAACTCTCTCCCCCCTCACCTCGGGAACTCTCTCCCCCCTCACCTCGGGAACTCTCTCCCCCCTCACCTCGGGAACTCTCTCCCCCCTCACCTCGGAACTCTCTCCCCCTTCACCTCGGGAACTCTCTCCCCCCTCACCTCGGGAACTCTCTCCCCCCTCACCTCTGGAACTCTCTCCCCCCTTCACCTCTGGAACTCTCTCCCCCCTTCACCTCGGGAACTCTCTCCCCCCTCACCTCGGGAACTCTCTCCCCCCTCACCTCGGGAATCTCCTCTCCCCCCTCACCTCGGGAACTCTCTCCCCCCTCACCTCTGGAACTCTCTCCCCCCTTCACCTCGGGAACTCTCTCCCCCCTCAACTCGGGAACTCTCTCCCCCCTCACCTCGGGAACTCTCTCCCCCCTCACCTCTGGAACTCTCTCCCCCCTTCACCTGTGGAACTCTCTCCCCCCTCACCTCGGGAACTCTCTCCCCCCTCACCTCGGGAACTCTCTCCCCCTTCACCTCTGGAGCTCTCTCCCCCCTTCACCTCGGGAACTCTCTCCCCCCTCACCTCGGGAACTCTCTCCCCCCTCACCTCGGGAACTCTCTCCCCCTTCACCTCTGGAGCTCTCTCCCCCCTTCACCTCGGGAACTCTCTCCCCCCTCACCTCGGGAACTCTCTCCCCCCCTCACCTAGGGAACTCTCTCCCCCCTCACCTCGGGAACTCTCTCCCCCCTTCACCTCGGGAACTTTCTCCCCCCTTCACCTGTGGAACTCTCTCCCCCCTTCACCTCGGGAACTCTCTCCCCCCTCACCTCGCGAACTCTCTCCCCCCTCACCTCGGGAACTCTCTCCCCCCTTCACCTCGGGAACTCTCTCCCCCCTCACCTCTGGAACTCTCTCCCCCCTTCACCTCGGGAACTCTCTCCCCCCTTCACCTCGGGAACTCTCTCCCCCCTCACCTCTGGAGCTCTCTCCCCCCTTCACCTCGGGAACTCTCTCCCCCCTCACCTCGGGAACTCTCTCCCCCCTCACCTCTGGAACTCTCTCCCCCCTCACCTCTGGAACTCTCTCCCCCCTTCACCTCTGGAACTTTCTCCCCCCCTCAACTCGGGAACTCTCTCCCCCCTCAACTCGGGAACTCTCTCCCCCCCTCACCTCGGGAACTCTCTCCCCCCTCACCTCGGGAACTCTCTCCCCCCTCACCTCGGGAACTCTCTCCCCCCTCAACTCGGGAACTCTCTCCCCCCTCACCTCTGGAACTCTTTCCCCCCTCACCTCGGGAACTCTCTCCCCCCTCACCTCTGGAACTCTCTCCCCCCTCACCTCGGGAACTCTCTCCCCCCTCACCTCTGGAACTCTCTCCCCCCTCACCTCTGGAACTCTCTCCCCCCTCACCTCGGGAACTCTCTCCCCCCTCACCTCTGGAACTCTCTCCCCCCTTCACCTCGGGAACTCTCTCCCCCTTCACCTCGGGAACTCTCTCCCCCCTCACCTCTGGAACTCTCTCCCCCCTTCACCTAGGGAACTCTCTCCCCCTTCACCTCGGGAACTCTCTCCCCCCTCACCTCTGGAACTCTCTCCCCCCTCACCTCGGGAACTCTCTCCCCCCTCACCTCTGGAACTCTCTCCCCCCTCACCTCTGGAACTCTCTCCCCCCTTCACCTCGGGAACTCTCTCCCCCTTCACCTCGGGAACTCTCTCCCCCTTCACCTCGGGAACTCTCTCCCCCCTCACCTCGGGAACTCTCTCCCCCCTCACCTCTGGAACTCTCTCCACCCTCACCTCGGGAACTCTCTCCCCCCTTCACCTCGGGAAGTCTCTCCCCCCTCACCTGTGGAACTCTCTCCCCCCTTCACCTCGGGAACTCTCTCCCCCCTCACCTCGCGAACTCTCTCCCCCCTCACCTCTGGAACTCTCTCCCCCTTCACCTCGGGAACTCTCTCCCCCCTCACCTCGGGAACTCTCTCCCCCCTCACCTCGGGAACTCTCTCCCCCCTCACCTCGGGAACTCTCTCCCCCCTTCACCTCGGGAACTCTCTCCCCCCTCACCTCTGGAACTCTCTCCCCCCTTCACCTCGGGAACTCTCTCCCCCCTCACCTCGGGAACTCTCTCCCCCCTCACCTCTGGAACTCTCTCCCCCCTTCACCTCTGGAACTTTCTCCCCCCTTCACCTCGGGAACTCTCTCCCCCCTCAACTCGGGAACTCTCTCCCCCCTCACCTCGGGAACTCTCTCCCCCCTCACCTCGGGAACTCTCTCCCCCCTCACCTCTGGAACTCTCTCCCCCCTTCACCTCGGGAACTCTCTCCCCCCTCAACTCGGGAACTCTCTCCCCCCTCACCTCGGGAACTCTCTCCCCCCTCACCTCTGGAACTCTCTCCCCCCTTCACCTGTGGAACTCTCTCCCCCCTCACCTCGGGAACTCTCTCCCCCCTCACCTCGGGAACTCTCTCCCCCTTCACCTCTGGAGCTCTCTCCCCCCTTCACCTCGGGAACTCTCTCCCCCCTCACCTCGGGAACTCTCTCCCCCCCTCACCTCGGGAACTCTCTCCCCCTTCACCTCTGGAGCTCTCTCCCCCCTTCACCTCGGGAACTCTCTCCCCCCTCACCTCGGGAACTCTCTCCCCCCCTCACCTCGGGAACTCTCTCCCCCCTCACCTCGGGAACTCTCTCCCCCCTTCACCTCGGGAACTTTCTCCCCCCTTCACCTGTGGAACTCTCTCCCCCCTTCACCTCGGGAACTCTCTCCCCCCTCACCTCGCGAACTCTCTCCCCCCTCACCTCGGGAACTCTCTCCCCCCTTCACCTCGGGAACTCTCTCCCCCCTCACCTCTGGAACTCTCTCCCCCCTTCACCTCGGGAACTCTCTCCCCCCTCACCTCGGGAACTCTCTCCCCCCTCACCTCGGGAACTCTCTCCCCCCTCACCTCTGGAACTCTCTCCCCCCTTCACCTCGGGAACTCTCTCCCCCCTCAACTCGGGAACTCTCTCCCCCCTCACCTCTGGAACTCTCTCCCCCCTTCACCTCGGGAACTCTCTCCCCCCTTCACCTCGGGAACTCTCTCCCCCCTCACCTCGGGAACTCTCTCCCCCCCTCACCTCGGGAACTCTCTCCCCCCTCAACTCAGAAACTCTGACTCACTAAACTCCTTCAAAAAACAGCTAAAAACCCAACTCTTCCTCCAAGCATACGACTCTTATTTTCAACAGATTTTTAGTTTTCTGTGTCTGTCTAAACGTGTGTGTGTGTGTATGCTGAATTGTGAAGCGTCTTTGAGTTATTGAAAAGCACTATATAAAACCAAAGTATTATTATTATTATCATTATTAAACCATAGTGGATAGTACCTTAAGTTTCTTTGTTCTATCTCGGAGTGTCCAGCGGCACTGTTGAAGCTGCTCAGCCACCTCTGGTCCCGGCTGTCTGGTCAACACACGCTTCAGGTCCACATACAGTTTCTCCTTCTCCTTTAGGAACAGAGCACAAAATAACATAAATGGTTCCTTTATTTAATCTGCCCAAAATAACCCTCAGTTTTACCTGTAGCAGCAGTTCACTTTCTTCAAGCTCCTGAGTCTTGGCAATGAGTCGCTTTTGTAACGACTGGATCTTCTGAATGAGCTCATATTTACCAGGATCACTTCCCTGTTGGTGTATTTAAACGTACATGAGATGTGCAGATACCAGCGCCGATAACTAGTACCTGTTACAACTAGTTCCTATTTGGTCAGGAACCTTACTGTCTCTGGCTCATCATTCATGCTGAAACAGGTGATAATTAAACAATACTAGACTAAACAAGACTAAAAAGGGGCCTAGTGTAATGTGATGTAAAAGGCAGAGTTGACCTCCAGGCGCCTCCATCGGTGAATGTTGATGGGCTTCAGCTGCTCCTCGAGAATGCTGTTTCTGGTCCTCTCTCTCAACAGCTCCCTCTGCAGGTGAAAGAGCTCCTGTCTGCAAGAGCCCATCAACACCACATCACTGCACATGCACTTTCCTAGCCTGGCCTTATCCATCCGTACACTTCGCTCAGTCATCATTTCACTGCATGCAACGTCTGGGTCTGGTCCTTGTGTTAGCGAATACAATTGTTTGAATTCCATCCGACCAATCTGAGAGTGCGGGAGGCGGGTGTTGTAGTTAGTTGTAGGTGACGTCAAGAGTTTGCGCCGAACGGGCAGGTTGTAGTTTGGCGAAAAATGCCATAGTAAATTATTACGTCTGGTTCCATCAAGAAATTCAAGGAATGTTTAGCAAATGTAATCGCTGGATTGTGCCGCTACTCCCCACGGGCTCTGTTAGCGGCAAAGGAGATGGCTAAAGCTGAGCTAAATGCTAACAACTCACTCAAGCGCATTACCTACGTCACGGTAAACTCAGATCCAATCGTTTCAATCTGCAAAAGGAGTTAACCCCTCCCACCTGTTCACGGAGCACAGCGGAGCAAATCCAGACCTTAGTACGAAATGTAATTTGTACTATGGTGTGGTACGACCAGGCTAGTACTTTCCTGGTGTTACTTCTTTTTTCCACGACTTTGTACTTTTACCCTTTTTACCCACGATGACACATTTGGTTAGCCATGCATTTAGTTAAATCATCATCAAGTTAATTAATTGTGATTAGCCACGCTTCTAAGTTCAGGGTTAGGGTTAGTGTTTGTGAACAACCGTTTTCACAGATTTTCAATTGGATTCTTACTGGGCAATTCTTTATGATATCTCAGCCACTCCATACCTCACTTCCTGTCTCATACCTCACTTCCTGTCTCATACAATCAATCAATCAATCTTTATTTATAGGGCGCTTTTCCTGCACAGGGCAACACAAAGCGCCTCACAGTCCACACCACACAATGCACAAATCATCACCATTAAAATACAATTAAAAACACATATGTAATTAAAAAGCATTAAAATCACACAAGTAATTTAAAAACATAAGAATCACACAAGTAATTAAAAACAATAAAATAGTTAAAAACACAAAAAGTTACAACAATAAATAACAAGGTGTGTTAAAAAGATAAAATTCTTTAGTTGTATGCACAGGAAAAAAGAAAAGTCTTTAACATGGATTTGAACATCGACAGAGAGGCAGCCAGTCATACCTCACTTCCTGTCTCATACCTCACTTCCTGTCTCATACCTAACTTCCTGCCTCATACCTCACTTCCTGTCTCATACCTCACTTCCTGTCTCATACCTAACTTCCTGCCTCATACCTAACTTCCTGTCTCCTACCTCACTTCCTGTCTCCTACCTCACTTCCTGTCTCATACCTAACTTCCTGTCTCATACTTAACTTCCTGCCTCATACCTCACTTCCTGCCTCATACCTCACTTCCTGCCTCATACCTCACTTCCTGTCTCATACCTAACTTCCTGCCTCATACCTAACTTCCTGTCTCCTACCTAACTTCCTGCCTCATACCTCACTTCCTGTCTCATACCTCACTTCCTGTCTCATACCTCACTTCCTGTCTCATACCTCAGCTCCTCCGTGTTGGGGATACTCTTGTCCAGGAGGCTCCTCTTGCTCCTAAGCCTCCTGATCTCCACTTTGAGCAGGCGGATGTCCTCCAGGCGCTGGCCGTAGTGGAAGTCTCCCTTGCTGAGGACGGCGTTCTGGATGCGGATCTTCTCGTACAGAAGAGCTCGCTCATCGTTGCGCCGCAGCAGCTGTTTACCCAGGTTGTCCCGCTCTCGGACCACCTGGAAGAATATAGGAAAATATGATTTTTGCTAAAAATCACTTCTGTAATTCAATTTACAAGGTGAAACTACACAGGATGAAATATTTCAGATCTGTTTTTAACATGATAAGTGTCATTTTAACACTGTGATAGTTGATCATGGTCAGAGTTCAGGTTATCTGTCAGTGTTGCTAGAATCATGACTTGTTTTTAAAACATTATTCAGTGTTAATTTAACATCTTCCAGACACTAGTGAACACGATCAAGGGTGAACACAGGTTTGAGTCAGATCCATCCACTTTGAATCCCACAGTTTTTAGCATTTTTCTGCTTGACGTGGTCTTGAGTAACATATATTTAACATCTGAAAACATGGTTTCATTATAAATAAAATGTTGTTTACTGACACTCAACATGCCTTGAAGTATATTCTATTGTTAACAACGGTTTGAACTCTTGACCAAGGTGCTTTCAACATGATACTTTTATGAAATGACAATAGTCTTAGGATTAACAACCCATCTCCAGATGTTGATGCTCGGCTGCTGCTCCAGTCTCTTCCTCTGCTCAGGGTTCTTACCTGCTCCAGTCTCTTCTTCTGCTCAGGGTTCTTACCTGCTCCAGTCTCTTCCTCTGCTCAGGGTTCTTACCTGCTCCAGTCTCTTCCTCTGCTCAGGGTTCTTACCTGCTCCAGTCACTTCCTCTGCTCAGGGTTCTTACATGCTCCAGTCACTTCCTCTGCTCAGGGTTCTTACCTGCTCCATTCGCTTCCTCTGCTCAGGGTTCTTACCTGCTCCATTCGCTTCCTCTGCTCAGGGTTCTTACCTGCTCCAGTCTCTTCCTCTTCTCAGGGTTCTTACCTGCTCCATTCGCTTCCTCTGCTCAGGGTTCTTACCTGCTCCAGTCTCTTCCTCTGCTCATGGTTCTTACCTGCTCCAGTCTCTTCCTCTGCTCATGGTAAGTAAGTAAGTAAGTAAGTAAGTAAGTAAGTAAGTAAGTAAGCTTTATTTATATACCGCCTTTCACAGACCAGAGTCACAAAGCGGTTTACAATTGTTATTTTTTGGGCACTTGTCTCTCACTCCACACAGAGATGGGAGCGGGGTCGCCGAACAGGAGGCGCATGCCAGACCTATTGTACATATTTTTAGTGGTAGGGGAAACCGGAGTACCCGGAGGAAACCTACGCAGACACGGGGAGAACATGCAAACTCCACTCAGAAAGGCCCTGGTCCGGCCGGGATTCGAACCCAGGACCTTCTTGCTGAGAGGCGAGAGTGCTATCCACTCAGCCACCGTGCCGCCCAGGTTCTGGAGCAGGTTCTTACCTGCTCCAGTCTCTTCCTCTGCTCATGGTTCTTACCTGCTCCAGTCTCTTCCTCTGCTCAGGGTTCTTACCTGCTCCAGTCTCTTCCTCTGCTCATGGTTCTTAAATGCTCCAGTCACTTCCTCTGCTCAGGGTTCTTACCTGCTCCAGTCTCTTCCTCTGCTCAGGGTTCTTACCTGCTCCAGTCTCTTCCTCTGCTCATGGTTCTTACCTGCTCCAGTCTCTTCCTCTGCTCAGGGTTCTTACCTGCTCCAGTGTCTTCCTCTGCTCAGGGTTCTTACCTGCTCCAGTGTCTTCCTCTGCTCAGGGTTCTTACCTGCTCCAGTCTCTTCCTCTGCTCTGGGTTCTTACCTGCTCCAGTCACTTCCTCTGCTCAGGGTTCTTACCTGCTCCAGTCTCTTCCTCTGGTCATGGTTCTTACCTGCTCCAGTCTCTTCCTCTGCTCAGGGTTCTTACCTGCTCCAGTCTCTTCCTCTGCTCAGGGTTCTTACCTGCTCCAGTCTCTTCCTCTGCTCATGGTTCTTACCTGCTCCAGTCTCTTCCTCTGCTCAGGGTTCTTACCTGCTCCAGTCTCTTCCTCTGCTCATGGTTCTTACATGCTCCAGTCTCTTCCTCTGCTCAGGGTTCTTACCTGCTCCAGTCTCTTCCTCTGCTCATGGTTCTTACCTGCTCCAGTCTCTTCCTCTGCTCAGGGTTCTTACCTGCTCCAGTGTCTTCCTCTGCTCAGGGTTCTTACCTGCTCCAGTGTCTTCCTCTGCTCAGGGTTCTTACCTGCTCCAGTCTCTTCCTCTGCTCAGGGTTCTTACCTGCTCCAGTCTCTTCCTCTGCTCTGGGTTTTTACCTGCTCCAGTCACTTCCTCTGCTCAGGGTTCTTACCTGCTCCAGTCTCTTCCTCTGCTCATGGTTCTTACCTGCTCCAGTCTCTTCCTCTGCTCATGGTTCTTACCTGCTCCAGTCTCTTCCTCTGCTCATGGTTCTTACCTGCTCCAGTCTCTTCCTCTGCTCATGGTTCTTACCTGCTCCGGTCTCTTCCTCTGCTCATGGTTCTTACCTGCTCCAGTCTCTTCCTCTGCTCATGGTTCTTACCTGCTCCAGTCTCTTCCTCTGCTCATGGTTCTTACCTGCTCCAGTCTCTTCCTCTGCTCAGGGTTCTTACCTGCTCCAGTGTCTTCCTCTGCTCAGGGTTCTTACCTGCTCCAGTGTCTTCCTCTGCTCAGGGTTCTTACCTGCTCCAGTCTCTTCCTCTGCTCAGGGTTCTTACCTGCTCCAGTCTCTTCCTCTGCTCTGGGTTCTTACCTGCTCCAGTCACTTCCTCTGCTCAGGGTTCTTACCTGCTCCAGTCTCTTCCTCTGCTCATGGTTCTTACCTGCTCCAGTCTCTTCCTGTGCTCATGGTTCTTACCTGCTCCAGTCTCTTCCTCTGCTCAGGGTTCTTACCTGCTCCAGTGTCTTCCTCTGCTCATGGTTCTTACATGCTCCAGTCTCTTCCTCTGCTCAGGGTTCTTACCTGCTCCAGTCTCTTCCTCTGCTCAGGGTTCTTACCTGCTCCAGTCTCTTCCTCTGCTCAGGGTTCTTACCTGCTCCAGTCTCTTCCTCTGCTCAGGGTTCTTACCTGCTCCAGTCTCTTCTTCTGCAGAGCCTGCTCTGTGTCTGCTTCTGAGAGGATCTTCTGTAGTTTGTGTTGCTCTGCTTTCTGCTGCTCCACGTGCTGCTTGGCTTCCTCCAGCTGCAACTTCATCGTCTGAATGTCTGCCTGAAAACAACATCCAGACTTCAGGAATTAGTGGTGATCTATTTTCTTAATTTAAGAAGTGCTTGTACTAGACTGCAGATTCACAGTCAGTCTCAGAGATCTTGCTGTGCCCAATTTTCTGTACTATCACTATTCAGTACAACTTAAGAACCTATCCGAGTGGGAAGTACAGGAAGCTGGAAACTGCATTATAAAGTTAGAATCATTATGATGCAATCTGCAAGTAAACAGCTGGAGAAAAATAGTTATATTACAACCAATATCTTAATGAACTGGAGAACTAGGGATTTTCACTTAACCCAAACTATTCATTTCTAGCTGCGATAGCGGATAATCCACATTTTATTCCTTCTTGTTTAGATAAAGGTTATGGGAATGGGAAAAAACTACATGATCTCTATGATGTTAGTGTCATAAAATCATTCTTTCAGTTACAGGAATCATTTAACTTACCAAACAATGACTTCTTGCTAATTATACATTTTCTAAACTCAATTCCACAATATAAACAAGGACTTGGTCCTCACTGTTTAGAAAATGACCTTACAGAAAAGCAAAAATGAGTGTAACCACAGTACGTAAAAGGTCTGGAGCAGGATTTGGTAAAGAACCCAACAATGGAGCATTATCATGCTCAACTCCAAAACAATACTTTGCAGTTACAAATCACAAGAAAATAAATTTAAAATAATACATAAATTACAAACTACTCCATAAATACAAAATAAATATGTTAAGAATTATTCATGGGTACAGTATGTAAACAGCAAGTGGGTACCTATGTCCATCTAATGTGCCCTTTGTAAGGGAAGAATTACAGGAACATGGTTAAAGAATAGTGGGTGAATTGTGATGATTAACAAATGGTTCAGAGGACTTTGTTTTATGGCAGGAAGGTTTTTGGGATGATGTTTGAGTAAGTTCAGGTACACGTTGTTTGTGAGTTTAGTTATTGACAGTGATTGACCGTCTGATCATGTGGAGGATGTGATCTTGGACTGGGACAGTGTCCTCTTCCTGTGTCCTCTGCCCCTGTCCTCTCGACCCCCTTAACCCCCCCTTGTTCCTCTGTCCTCTCGACCCCCTTAACCCCCCCTTGTTCCTCTGCTCTTCATGCCTTGAGTTACCTATTTTCATGTGATCAGTGCAGAGGTGTGACATGTGTGTTTTTCCTGTGGCCATTGGCCAATGACCATCCTAATAAAGCTTGTGTGAATCCCATTGTGTGTCAGAGAGACTGATGCAGGGTCCAAGGAGCGACTCCATTTGCAAAAGCTTGATCTTATCATGTACTTTTTACTTTCATTAAACCACACAAAATGTTTCCATGGATCATTAAGGGAATCCCCACAACACCTAAGACCAAACAATACTGGCTAGAAGTATGTGAAAATATTTCAACAATTGTCAAAAACCATGTAAAGCCTTGGCCTCTCCAATGTATTCTGGGATTGTTAAACTCTAATCCAAAACTGAAAAAAATTATCACTGCATCTGTACAGTACAAGACTAACAATTATGCAGCACTGGTCAGAGGATGCTGGACCACATATCTCTGATTGGTTTAAAAGATAAACCTCTACCCATTGGAAAGATTAACTTATCTTCTCAAAGGAAATACTGACACCTTCTTTGAAATCTGGAATCCTGTACAGGATTATACTGGAGAATCAGAATAAACTGGAACAGGGGACATGCTGTCAGCCTCACCCTGAGAGCCTCGTTGTCCTTGTCCAGACGCAGGTGCTCCTGCTGCTCCTTGGCGATGGTCTGCTCCTTCCCAAAGATCTCCTCCCTCAAACGGGACACCTGGGCGTTCATGCTCTTCATCTTCATCTTCAGCTCTGACACCTCCTCCTGCAGGTGGCCCCACAGTCAGTACAAAACAGAATCCAAGACCAGTTTGCAGTTACAAAGCATGTGACCTGAGCTCCCACGAGGTTCTTGCTGTAAAGGTTCCGCTCCATCACCAGAGACTCCAGAAGGTTCTCCTGCTGTTTCAGCTTGCACTCCGACTCTGTCTCCTTCTTCTTCCAGTCGTATATCTCCATCTCTCGCGCCTCCACTTCACTCATTTTGACTTGCACCTGTTTCAATATATCATTAAAGCAGAAGTAAGCAATTTCTTATGATAAATGATTATATCTTCCAATAACCATCACTTATATATAGTATTTGGGCCGTGACACGGATCTCTCAGTCACTCCACTCTCGCTCTCAGGCATATTTAAAAAAAAATTCTTGTATCCTACAGTTGTTATCCAATCAGGAGAGTGAATGGTATAAGGCGGCGGGTATCTCTCTGTGTGTGCATGTGCATTCTACAAAACAAACATGGCGGAGAGAGCAAAGCTGACTTCAGTGCTGCCGCAGACGGTTTACATTAACGTTGTCGTTCCTGCCAGAAACGGGAACGACAACGAAGAAGGAGCAACATGATGACATTTATATTGGCGAACTTTAGATCGGTGGAGAAATCATGGCTGCAAAAACTGACTTGTCTTTCCCCCACTGAACAGGTAAGCATCATCACTCAGTAGTGGCAGTAGTAGTAGTAGTAGTAGTAGTAGTAGTAGTAAGTAATTATACATATTTTTGCCTGAGAGTAGACTGTAGTGTGGGTTTTCATCCCCAGCTGTTGGAGAAAAATGCTCCATTTTGATGTGATAACTGCGCATTACCTCATGTTAGCTTTGAGAAAGACAACACAACAAGCCTGGCCTTAGCCATCCGTAAACTCTGGTCAGTTATTATTTCACTACATGTACGAAATGAAATGAGTACGATATGGTAAGACCAGGCATGACGCCTCTAAAGCCCCCTGAAAGCGCCCCCCATCATCACCCGCGTAGTTCCCCTGTGAAGTAGCGCTAGCTGCTACGATCACTTCTGATCTGTAAGAATATTTATGTGTAGGAGGTTGTGGGGAAGCTGGCCAAAGGGTAAAGCAGGAGGCAGACGAGGAAGAGTTCCCAAAAACCGTCAGGATTGCCTAATGCTGCTTTAATTGCAAAAATAGCAACTACTGCAAATATAGAAAATATTTCAAGTGTTGCTTTTCCTGATTTGACCATTTTGTAAATTCCTGTGAGAGAAGGGATTGATACAAGAGAGAATGCATTTGACAAGGACACTGGAATATTTTGACTTGCAAGTTGAGAGGCTGACACATAAAATGTGTTTAGAATTATCAGTCGGAGGCGACAGTAAAAGCGACTGAAGGATTCATACGAGCCAAAATAACATGGACTTCTCACCGATCTATCTTCCACCGTTTTATCTGTGTTTGTGCAAAGCTGCAACAAACTGAAGCCAATGCTGCCAATTGTAACAGGTAGCATTACAATTTGGGCATTTGTGGGTTCGAATCCCGGTTGGAACAGGGCCTTTCTTAGTGTAGTTTGCATGTTCTCCCTGTGTCTGCGTAGGTTTCCTCCAGGTGTTCTGGTTGCCCCTACCACTAAAAAACAAGTACATTAGGTATGAATGTAATGAGTGAGTGAATGGATGGTGTTGATGGGGGGCTTTGATGCACCAGTGTTTTCGGTGTCTCGCTTCCGTCATCACCGTGTGTGGAGAGAATGGAACAATCTCTGAACACTGTAAAGCACTTTGGGTGACTTTGGTCTGTAAAAATGTGCTATATAAATAATGAGTACTACAATTTAAAAAGGAAAAAACAGTGAAAACAGCCGTAATTCCAATGAAAACGAAGTGCCCCTTGATCATGGCACTTCATGATCAAGGGGCTGGGCGACACGGTGGCTGAGTGGATAGCGCTCTCGCCTCTCAGCAAGAAGGTCCTGGGTTCGGATCCCGGTCGGAGCAGGGCCTTTCTGACTGGAGTTTGCATGTTCTCCCCGTGTCTGCGTAGGTTTCCTCTGGGTACTCCGGTTTCCCCTACCACTAAAAATATGTACAATACTCCTCCTGTACTGGCGACCCTGCTCCCATCTCTGTGTGGAGTGAGAAACAAATGCCCAAAAAAATAACACTTGTAAACCGCTTTGTGACTCTGGTCTGTGAAAGGCGGTGTATAAATAAAGATTACTTACTTACTTGTCATAGTAAACACACATACAGTATTAGGCTCAAACCTCTGATCTTCTGCACAAAGGTCTAGTGGAGATACTGTATGTGAAACCTTTTTTTTCTTGTGTTGTTTGTTGTTGTTTAAGATGTGCTTTAGGACATAACTAAGCCGACACGTGATGGTCTTGCCTTGTGCATGAGGCTGCTGGTCTCATTGATGTAGCGGTCGCGCTCCTTCTCCAGCTGCTGTATGATCTTCCTTTGCTTGTGGGCCTCCTGGCGGTACCCGCTGATCTCATGTTCTAGAGTCTTCTGGTCCTTCTCCAGAAGCTTCACGGCGGCCTGCTGCTTCTCCGTCGATACAGCAGCTTTGATTATGTTCTGAGTGGAAGTACATGATGTAAGTGCTGCTGCCACTTGAGTCAAACCCGTTTCATTGAATCAGACCTTGTTGAGGATGTCGCGTTCTCTCGTCAACTCATCGAGAGCCTTTTTATCTGAGTCTACCTGCTTCTGGGCTGACTCCAGATCTGTGGAACAACAGCAACACAGATATTATTGAGGTGGACATTAATAATTGATGATTGATTAGAACTGGACAGTGGTTGGTAACATACATATGAAAGTAATTGTAAGGTACAAAGACAAAACTAAACTGGAGGTTTGCTGAACAATTATGAGAGAGGCTGCTGGAGCAATGAGACCAGCCGCCTCTCTCAGTTTGTCCTGTCCTCCTCGTCGCTTGCCAAGCAAGCGCTGCTCTCCCTGCCGGGCCACAACCCTGTTTTCCGGATGATGGGTGCCGCTCTGACCACGGCTTCTCCTCCTGCCTGCTCGACCACTGGAACGGTGTCTTTCTTTCATGATGACACTGTCTCTTCCGATGACTTGCACTTTTCACGGACGCGGCTCAGTTTGTGGATTTTGGGGGTTTTATCAAGTGGTCCAGTGGTTATCTATTCTGCACCCTGGCCCCAAGGACTTAGTATTAACCCTATCATTATAATCTCCACCTTAAATACTCCAAAAGGAAGGTGCCTGTAACATTGTTATTATGAATTCTCTTATTTCCCCTGTCGATATTGTCACGGCCCCTCCCTACCTGACGGGGGTGGTTCCCTTTCAGACAGGGAGGACCCATCTTAACAGTGTTATCTCTTTAGGGGATCAGATCCCCTGAGATCATCATATGCAGGGGTGAGTAATCTGCCTGCGCTGTAGTGAAACATGTATGTATGAAGCGTAGGCCTTGGGGATCTGTGGAGATGCTTCTCAGGCACAGGCTGCTTCGTGGGGTGCGTGTATGAAGCGAAGATGATCTCAGTTCCCCTCTGCAATTGTCACTGCCGGGTTCAATGCGCTAAACAAATACTTGGTCTCTCCAGATTGAAATGAAGCTTAAGCGCAAATTCAGACTGGGAAGACCCTGCTCCAGCCCTCACCCCATCCTGGGCCAGCCTCTCTCAGCCAATCACACGGGTCTGCCAGCCTCGAGCCTCAGCCAATCACACGGCTCTGCCAGCCTCGAGCCTCAGCCAATCACACAGCTCTGCCAGCCTCTCAAACCTCAGCCAATCACACAGCACTGCCAGCCCATTTGCCAACCTACTGACAGCAAAGCGGGCAGTTTAAAAGCAGCCACTTCCTACTAACAATTGTAATAATAATAGTACAAAATAATCCATGAAGACTAATGTTGAAGCGGACCTTTCTCCAGCCCAGTGATCTGTGCTTTCAGCGTCTCCTTCTGTACTTCTGCGTCCGCCTTCTGCTCCTCCAACTGATGCTGCTTTTTCTGAATGGCCTCTCGCATCTTCAATTGTTTGGAGATCTCCTGCCTCATCTGGCTCACTTCCTCGTCTCTCATCTGGACAAATTAAAAAAAACATCAAAATTATGCAAACAGGTAAAAATTGAATAACTAACATCCACTCTTATTAAATGAGTTAATGAATTTGAGACAGTGAATGAGGGGAGTTTCCGATAGCAACAATTAAGCGAGCACCTAAAACCAATATTAAAACAGTAGAAATGATTAAGTCATAATTCCTTTCGTGTGTGTGTGTGTGTGTGTGTGTGTGTACGTTCTGTATGCGGAAAAAACATACAAAGTCAATTTTCTTTTCAAGGAGACATGACACAGACATGTAACACCGCCCCTTCTGTCTGAAAGCTCCTGTTTCAGTCCTGTAATAGTTTGATGTCATTGCACTGTGATGTCACACTTTGAGTTTTTTGACAGGGTCTGTCTTTTAAAACAAAAGTGGTGCTTATGAAATAGTTACCAGTAATTACTAGTAATGACCAATAACCAGTCATTTAGTAAAAAGGAAATAAAAATAAAAACTTTTGAATGATCCTGATCTCCACAGAATAGACTCCGGTGTGAGAAGGGGAAGCATATAACCAGACGGCATACAACCAGACGGCATACAACCAGACACGGCATACAACCAGACGGCATACAACCAGACAGCATACAACCAGACGGCATACAACCAGACGGCATACAACCAGACGGCATACAACCAGACGGCATACAACCAGACGGCATACAACCAGACGGCATATAACCAGACAGCTTTAACGTGTACCTTGAGCTCATTGGAGATCTGGTGGTTTTCCAAAGTGAGACGTTCTTTGGTGGAGGTGAGCTGCTCAAACTCCTGCTGCTGCTTTGCACTTTTCATCTGCATCTGCTCCAGTTCTTTAGTAGATCGCTCGTGCATTAGCTTTCAAAAAGATAACAGTGTGTTGAGTAGAACTTCTGCAGTTAGAAAAACAACACATAGAGAATAGAATAGAATAATCATCATCAAAGCGGACTTTGATGATGATCCAGGACACTCATCGTTCATCAACACTTATGGACATTGGTCAACTCCCCCTATGGACCAAGAGGGCTGGAAAGGGGAAGTGCGAGATTTCCAACCGCAGATACAAACAAACCACACGTGCCGGTTGTGTGGTGCTGAGATCGCCGACTTCTTCCTTCTTAATGGATTTTTCTGTGTTGTTTTGGACACATTTCGTCTCTGGGACAAAAACACTGAGTGAGCGGTCGGAATTAGCTGTGAACTGACCATGTCCTGAAGTTTCTATATGACGGGGAGATGAGAAAGGTGCAGGGCCGTGTTCAAACTCAATGTTTTTTTGTCCACTATTATGCATCAGAAAGAAAATATAGAACCATTATTCTGCTGCAAATCAGGAACAAAAAATACCTACGACATTTCCATTTGTCTTTCGACCAAAAGAAGAGACATATCCACATACAGTATTATCATAGATCCATTATCCAGCTCTGTAAACAACAGCACACGAGTCTATGCACACGAGCACACGCGTGAGATGAAACCACTGCTTCAAAATCACAAAGTGAGTTAGTCCAGCTGTAAGTCCTCTGCGATAACTACTGCTGTGATTTAGGACAATACAAGAATAATTTGAAATGAATCCAAGCATGGCACCTTGAGCTCCTTCATCTGCTGCTCCTGCCTGTGCTGCTCCTCCTTGGCCTTGAGGCTCTGCTGGGTCAAGGTCCTCAGCTCGGACGTCTTGGTGTCCATGTCCGAGTGCAGCTGCTTTAGCTCCTTGTCCAGCTTCTCCTTCAGCCTCATCTCCCGCGAGATCTCATTCTGCTGCACCTGAAGCTCCTGCTGCAGCTAGAAAACAGACAAAACCATAGATAAGAGACAGCATTCAAAGATTCAAAACACACACTATATTAAGTATTAAGTAGGGCTGTCGAAATTATCGCGTTAACGCACGTTTGTTACATTTTTCATATATACTTTTTTTAAAATAATATAACCACGGTAGTTACTCTTAAAACCACAACGTTTGGTTCTATCGCATTACATTCTAGACATAATCCACAATAAACCTGAAATGATAACCACCTAATACCCCTCACCACAAACTTATCTACACTAACTACCTGAACCGTCAACTGCTAAAGTGTGATTGCGGAGATATTAAACGTGTTGGCTGTAGGTCTGAGTACTGCAGCTGTCAAAAGCCGTGCATACAGCTGCAGAGGACAACGCTCTGAGGGGCAGGGGCAGGACTGAGGGCCAGGGGAAGGCCCTAAAACAGTGATTTGGATTTGCTTGTGATTCATGAAGATGGAGTAGTGGTGCACCTGTGAGACGGTCTCCTGGGCCTGGTCCCGCAGCAGCTGGGTCTGCTCTTGGGTCTGGGTGAGCTCCTTGAGACGGCCCCGGAGCTCTTCACACGAGGCCAGAAGCTCGTTCCTTTCTCTGCTCAGCTCGTTGTTCAGTTTGACCAGCTCACTGCGGACACAGCTCCTCTTCAAACACAACAACAGACACAACTTGGACAGTGGGATTACGTAAACTCACCTTTGCTCTTGGTCTTTAGCATATCCAGTTTGCTGCTCAATCTTTTTGGTGAGATCTGCGATTTCTTGCCTTTCATTCTTGATTATTTCCTTGTCCTTCTTTTCTTTCTCGTGAGCAGTGTCCACCATTTTCCATGCCTTATCTAGTTCCTGCAGTAATAACTAATATTTAATGCATATAGCAGACAACACATTCAAAGTGGCTCAGCTCCATTAACTAAATTAAGTAATACAGTCACACTTTTTTACTTCAACATCTTTGGTTGTTCTTGTGCCCTGGACTCTTGAGTTTAGGATTAGAGGAGGAAGAAGGAAGAACAAAAGAGGAAAGGGGTGAAGAGAGAAATGGCAGCAGTAGCGGTGATGACTTAAGTAACAGTATTGTTACAGGGCTAGGAGGACGAATTTAACCAATATTTAACCTTGATTCTCCCCCCTCTCCTCGCCCCCCCTTCCTGCTCCCAACTCTTCACATGTCAGCCCCACCCTGGAGCCGCTGCAGTTCGCTGGACTGGTCCCATAACACCAACGCCCTGTATCAGAAGGGCCAAAGTGGCCTCCACCTTCTGAGGAGACTGAGGTCCTTCAGACTCAGCAGGCCTCTGCTCAAGACTTTTCATGACTCTGCTAGCCTCTGCTTTCCACTACGCTATCCACTGTGCTGGGCTCTGGGCAAGCTGCTCAAGAGGGCCAGCTATGCTCTGGGCTGCCCCTGGACTCTGCGGAGAAGGTGAGGGACTCACCTCTATCATGGGCAACACCTGCCACACTGGACTGTAGAGCAGCTGAGCAGCTCTTTCAGTGGAAGACTGAGGTACCCTCAGTGGAAGCAGTGCTACCGCAGGGCCTTTATCCCTACCGCTGTCAGACTGTACAATAAGTCACTTTAATGACCTGCACTAGGACTGTAAACTAAACTAACCAATGCTAAAGTCAATTTTTAAATTTAATTGTTCATAAAATACCTTTATTGCACAAAAGTTACTCCCAGGGTGTCCCAATACTTTGGGAGAAGAAGCGAGGGCCCTCACACCCTTAAAAACCACCCTTGCGCGTAAGGGTGATCCTATGATGCATTAGGACAGTTGGTAAAGTAAAAGCTGCGCCATATGGAGAAAACAGCATATATGAAACACCCGGGCGCAAGTTTGTGGTGAACGTGTGGAAGCTTGGAAGCATGCAGTCCTGAGGACCTGTGCTGCTCAGCTGACTGGAGTCATCTTCAATGAGTCTGAAGCTGAATGTTTTGGAAGACCTCCTGTATAGTACCGGTACCAAAGAGGCCCGTACCATCTGACCTCAATGACTTCAGACCAGTGGCCTTGACATCGCACATCATGAAGGTGTTTGAGCGACTCATCCAGAGCTCAGACCTGCCCTGGTCGCTCTGCAGTTTGCATATCAGACCCATCTTGGAGTGGATGTCGCTTGCAGCATTTCTTTGATTTCTTCAGTGCCTTTAACAATATTCAGGCCTTTCTGCAGTATCCTATTACCTCTGTATTGTACACTGTAAATATGTACATATTCACAGATATGTATATTCTTGAGTTCCTATATCCAATTGTTCTATTCTCACAACAATATCTTATTATTCTTATTTATTGTTACTTTATTTGTATTTTTATTTTGGAATACTAAGCAAGCTACTGTGACAACACAATTATATATGTCAAATATGTCACGTGCCAGGTTTCGGCCTAAAATGTTAGTTTCCAAAAATGACAGGACGATGGTTGATGGGTCTGCCCCGGCCCTGGACTTGTAGCCCCGAATCTAGCCTTGGACCTAGTCCGTCCGTCAGTGGGAGTGGATCCATCTCTCAATGTGGGACTCCGTGAGGGTTCTCTCACTTTTTCCCAGTGGTTTTTTTGAGTTATTCTTTGCCGATGCCTGAGGGGCTCAGAACAGTGATGAGGATCCAGGACATTTAAGGACATTTATGGTTATTGGTAACCTCACTCCTACATCTGTTTTGGCTCGTGCACAAAAGTTTGGCATTCCCAAATGTCTTTGCTTATTTAAAAAATGTATGTAAAAAAAAATTTAAAAAAATCTTACATGTCACATGCTTGTGTGATGCATCATTTTAAAGCTAGGCCCTTCTAGTTTATGTAAATATACACTGAAATAATGTATGTCATTCCTATTTCACTCTGCATCCTTTGAAGTTTGGGAAAAAAAACCTGTTTTTTTTAGCCTCGTCTAAAAAATGCAATGTATAAATGCCCTAAAAAAGCCTACTTCATTGGAAGAAGAACATTTTCAACGCCAATTTGTTCATTGTGTTGTTGACAACAACTGTGTAAAGTTTCAGACTTCTAAGTTTTATAGTTTTTATGCAGTTTCTCTTTTTTATCAAGTAGTGCCATTCGGAACCAATTTGGCAAAATGTGTGCCAAATTGTGCCAAACTGCTTTACTAACATTTCACCATCATAAAAAGCATATTTTTTAGTTTTGGTACTTATAAGTTACAAATCTGTGGGATTTTCTTTTAAATTTTTTCAAAATATTTTTTTTAGTAGTGTAAATGCATATAAAATATGCGCAGCAGTACTAACAGCGTCTTTACGCACGCTTTTACTGTGAAAATGAAAAGTTCATACAAGTCCCACCCATCAAAAGAAAGCTCTTTTTATTGGCTACTTAGACACGTCAATCATTCAGTGCTAGCACATTGCGCTAGCCTGTAATCAACAACAAGGGAAAAAGGACCCTGTGCAAGTGGATGCGGTTTGTCTTTTTCACAAGGGTCCTGCGGACTGAAACCTGCTCCGATCTTTTCATGGAACCTCTCTTTTTGAAGCTAAGGACTCAAGGAACACGTGGATATGATGTTTGTGGCTAAACAAAGCTCAAACTTGGTGAAATGTGAAAGAAAAGCCTGAACATTTTTCGGAGCGTTTTTGTTTGGCAACAGAAAAATGCACATTTTTGGATTATTTCTGAAGAATGGATTATACTTTGGGAAATACAAGTGGATATTCTTTTTCACTGAAGACTTACGGAGAGAAAGAGACGGGGAAAGTCTAATTTGTCGGAGCAGCAGAAGACGAAAGGTAAGAAACTTATACAAACAGGATTTATTTTGTGCCCATATTATGCGTTATCTTTTTAATGCAAAGTCTGATATCGTTTACACTTACATATAAATATAGCTGATAAAATAAGCTTCAGAATGATATATAGCTTGTGGCTTAGGAAGTTCAAAATACATCTGCTATTGCCAGCAGAAGTTTTTTTTTTCTTGTTTGGCCCGCGAGCTTAAGGCTCTATGTGTTTTTTTTATTGTTGCATTTTCTTGAAGTGGAATAATGAATAATATATGTTCAGAAGGAAGAGAAAAACAAACAAAGAAAATCTAAGAAAAAAATGGACTTTTGAACAGTTTTCACATTCGCATTTGCATAAATACCCTTTTCAGCGAGGCGATGGTGTTTTCATCATCCTGGGACAGCTTCAGAGCGGCGGCCACTTTACTGGAGCTGGCTACGATCTCTGCGTTGAGCTCTCTGCATTTAGACATCAGCCTCCTCTCGTTGTCTTTGGACTTCTTCAGCACCTGGAGCAGCCTCTCGTACTCCACACGTACCTTGTTCAGGTTCTGGTCCCCCAGCAACTCATTCAAGACCACATAGAACTCCTCCAGGGACTCAAAGGGGTCCGCCCGCTTCTCCTCTGGCTCCAACTCCTGGACCAACAATCATAGGGTGAGACTAAGGAACAACTGGAATTCATGTGTTGATTTAAAGGATATATTCTTCAGAATCCACTTTTTGAGATTTCAAACCATGTAACAACATACTTCCCTCATCAAAAAAGAGACCTGGAGTGTTTTTTATATCCATCCACAATAATCTGAGGAACTTCTGGCCTAAAAAATGTAACTTCGCCCCCTTGTGTAAAGGGCCCTTTCATGCGTTCTCGGAAACTCAGAGATTTCGGCGCAATCTTCTGACTTCCCAAAATCAAAACCTTCACTGTGTATACATATATACATATACACATATGGAGGACCAAAACTGTCAAAATAATAAATAAATAAATAAATGTCACAATCTGCATATTATTATCAATATAACAACACATTTTATATTATTATTATACGTTTTTTTGATTCAAAACAATAAAATAAAAAATAAAGCTTTATTATTGTCTGTCTGCATTTATTTATTTCCTTATTCATTCAAAGGTTAAAATAAAAATATATATATATTATTATTTAACTGCTGTTTTTCCCCCAAAGAAATAACTAATCCTCTTTGTTTTCTTCTTCATCTATTTCTTTTATTGATGGTCTGTTTTATTATTTCACGACACATTATTCTTTCCTCGTGTCTTGCAAAGAAATGCAAATGAAGGGGACGCAGACAGCGAGACGAAAGCACTTGCCTCGTGCAGACTGACCCGGCTAAACCATGGATCTATAATAACTGGATAGGGTATTACTAGCTTGTAGCTGAATGACTCACGTGCTCGGGGGATTCTCGCGGTACTGCAGACTGAACCAGACTAAATTCACGTGGGCTACCCAGAAATTTTCCCCATAGAACTCAATGCATATTAAAACAGCTCAACCTCAGCTGACAGAGAACCTGACAGAGAACCTGACAGAGAACCTACAGCTTTCATAAAGGTCGGATTTTGTGGGGATTTTAGTGTCCCTTGTCATCCTGAACTTTTTTTCTTCTTAAATCCTTCGGTTTTGTTTAAATCCACACTTTACTGCCACAAACTCTGCTCGTCTGGCTCTCGCTCTAACTCCCGCTCTGATGAACTGCTCTGATTGGTCAGAGCGCGGCCGAGCCCCTCTGTGCACGTGCGTGAGACCCACACACGCGTGTTTAGGACAACATTGGATCATTCAAAGATCCTCACTGAACTTCTGGAGTGAGTTTGCTGCACTCAAAGTAAAGGGGCCGAATAATATTGCACGCCCCACTTTTCAGTTTTTTATTTGTTAAAGTTTAAATTATCCAATAAATTTCGTTCCACTTCACGATTGTGTCCCACACAGTGGATGATCTCCCATAATGCGTTGCGCCAACGCATTATGGGAGATCATCCACTGCACAGAACCAGGAGGACCAGACGATGCCCAAATACAGGAGAGTTTCATAGATCTTTGAGAGTTTCATAGATCTTTGAGAGTTTCATGGATCTTTGAGAGTTTCATGGATCTTTGAGAGTTTCATAGATCTTTGAGAGTTTCATAGATCTTTGAGAGTTTCATGGATCTTTGAGAGTTTCATAGATCTTTGAGAGTTTCATAGATCTTTGAGAGTTCCAGGCGACTTCCGCTAATCTTTCAGCCCCCATGCCGTCACAAAGCGCCACTGAGCACAACCATTCATTTGAATAGGGCGCCATCTTGGATCGCCGGGGCTGGGGCTAAACCCAGAAGTCTAGCCGTACTGCCATTACCGCGGTGCCGTCCTGCTGGAAGTAGCTGTGTAAAGCTGTTTGTCCCGTGGCTGTCGATGGAAATGTCACTTCTTCTATAATGCCTGGAAGAGCGTGTTGTGTGTTCGGCTGTTTCAATAACAGTGTGAAAACACAAGCCTGCAATAGAACCGTGTGTGAACTTCTTAAACCTTTACAACACAATCTTTCCCTGATCGCCGTCTGCCTCGTCACTGACACCCACCCAATTTCTCTGATTGGCTGAAGACATAACCTTACTATTCATCAGCCAATAATTGCTGAGAGGTTTTCTCATCCTCCCTTCTCGCATGTCAACACGAGTCCTTTCATGAAGTTAGAAAAAAGTGAATCATGAGACTTGAGTAACGTGCAGTAACGTGGTGTCGGCAACGATAACGGCGTCAGAGTGACAGTCAGAGTAAGTAGTTAGATTACTCGTTACTGAAAAAAGGAAAGTTATTCTCATCACTGAATATAAGCGATGCCCTGACCAAACGTACAGTAAACAGACTGTGGGACATTTCAAGCATTCACGGTTATTTTATTTTTTACCTTTGCGTGACACCCAACTGCTTTTGAAAACAGCCAAAACGCCTAAGGCAAGATGTGAAAACAAGATGTGAAAACGAGATGTGAAAACGAGATGTGGAATAGCAATAACGAGCCCTCAGTGCCTGCGTTGCTGACTCTGACTACTCTCCAGTGCCCCCTGCTGGAGAAAGTCATGATTGTTCTTCTACATTTGAAGAGGTCATTAGAAAGGTCAGTTCCTCTACTGCCTCAGCTGCTGATGTGATCCCAGCCACTGTCCTCAAGCATAGTTTGGTAAAAGAATGTGAAGAAGATGTTGGGATAAAAACAATGGAAACGACCTTTTTACAAGCAGTGAACAACAACAATATAGTAAAATGGTGTATTCATCATATTTATTTTTAATTGTATATCATTTTTTACATACAACTTTACATGTTTTTTCCAGAGTCTGACTTGTTATGAAAGTGAGAGACTGTTCAGCAGCGTTTCGATCATAGTGAGTGAGAAAAGGAACCGACTGCAGAACACACATTTTTAGATTAATTTCTTATTTTTCAAAGTTTGTTTTGAACATTTATTCTACGATAACTGAATGTTTCATACAATTTCTTTTGTTTTTTTACATAAATGTTTTTTTTACTTAAATTTGTTTTATAATAGCTCATTCTCCGTCACTTAGTTTGAATATTTTGTGACTATTCTCAGCTAAGGCTCCAGGTGCTTTAATCTGATTACATTTTAATTTTCATGCAGCGTGTTGGCATGTTTTTTTTTTTTAATTTAAACACTTTTATTGAATATAAAATGTTGGACATTGAGCAGCTCTTTGCGGTATTGCACATTTATGTTGAATCCATTTTAATCTAGAATGTTAGGACTTTACTTCATCCACTGCTTTTGCACTTACTTGAATAATAAATAGTTAAATTATTTACAAAACACATTCAGACTGGTGCCATGTGTTGTTTAACGTTTAACAGAAGACTTACCTCCATAATGCACCACTCAGAAGTACACAGCAGTACACAGCAGTACACAGCAGTACACAGCAGTACACAGCAGTACACAGAAGGACGTGCTTGCAGGGCTCGTGTGTTGATGTCAGTTGCTAAGTGACCAGTCTGTCCTGATCTCGCGAGACGCCGTTTGTATGGAGCAGATCTGTGGAGCAGGGAGACGGCTCATATACTATAATGAATGCACCGTACACCGTGTTTTGAGTGCACACATAGGAGAACACAGTGTAGCCTAATAAATAACTCTAGACTCTATGGCAGTCCGTGCAAAACTCACCCAGCTCAATATCCCCCGAGCAGCAGTGTCTGAGGTGGGGAACAACAGCGCACTCTAGCGGCCGGATCTCGCTACCTGTGTCTGCTACAGTATATATAATTATGTATATTCATAGTATGTCATTGTACCACTATGACATAACACTCAGAGCTGTTTTTATTTGTTCAACCAGAAACAAGGTCAACATATGTAATCTTTGTCCTTTTCTGATGATGATTCTGATGAATTAAAGTGATAGTCTGAAACTCTAAATTAATTACACATTTTAAGAATTGTATTAAATTGACCTCCTGGCCTTAAATGTTGATATAAAATAAGTTTTTTTATGAATTCTAATACGGGTAAGTCCCGCCTTCCCTTCTCCAGTTTAACCAATCAGGTGATGCCAAGGGCTGTCAATCATCAGCGCTGATGCTTGTAGCTGTTCATGCTCAGTTTGTTTTCACGGAGCCTCCGACTCAAGCCTCCATTTATATACTGAGTCTATATCCATAATCATTTATATACTGAACCTATATCCATAATCATTTATATACTGAACCTATATCCATAATCATTTATATATGAACCTATATCCATAATCATTTATATACTGAACCTATATCCATAATCATTTATATATGAACCTATATCCATAATCATTTATATAATGAACCTATATCCATAATCATTTATATACTGAACCTATATCCATAATCATTTATATACTGAACCTATATCCATAATCATTTATATATGAACCTATATCCATAATCATTTATATAATGAACCTATATCCATAATCATTTATATACTGAACCTATATCCATAATCATTTATATATGAACCTATATCCATAATCATTTATATAATGAACCTATATCCATAATCATTTATATACTGAACCTATATCCATAATCATTTATATATGAACCTATATCCATAATCATTTATATAATGAACCTATATCCATAATCATTTATATACTGAACCTATATCCATAATCATTTATATACTGAACCTATATCCATAATCATTTACATACTGAAGTCAAGCGTTTCTCGAGTTAGTACAACCTGATCTGAAGTTGTGTACGCCGCACTAAGAGCCAACCGGAAGTCCGCAAACAGAAGTTCTCAACAGAAATGAGGGTCAATGGAAGTGTGCATGTTTACCCCTGGGGAAAGTTGTCTATATGGATGTTGTGATACACCGGTCGGCAAAACATTTGAAAAGCAATGGTGGCTTATGGAGCGAACACTAGTTAGAACAATTTTGAGCCGTGCTGTGTGATCGGCTGTGCCAACAAAGTTGATAAGAGATATACCAAGAGTTTCTACCGTGTTCCTAATAAGCCTGAATCAAGAAGAAAGCTTTGGATTTCAGAATGCCTCTGAACACGTTTCGATAAACTTCTGAGTGCATGCTTGTGTGATCCATGGAAGAATAAATTCATAAATATGTCTTACTTATCGGCTTCTACAGATGTGTACTGTACGCTTTCATCGACTCTCGTGAACAGACGGCGTGTCGATACGGTACAGGTACATATCAGATGTCAGCTCTGGCCATGTGTCCGGGCTGATGTGGATACAGCTTGTTCAGCTTCACCGTATAACTCTGTTTAGCTTCTTCAGTCAAAGAATTTGCCTATGTTGATAAATCAATATGTGTTGGGACTAACCACAATGAAACTAAGAAGTTGATCATTGAGATATCATTGAAAAAACCTGTTTTTTGTTTAGGTTTTTGTGTTGACCTTCATCAGTTCCAACTTATTTGAATAAACAAATAAACATTGTCTTTCACAACTAAAGTCACTTTAAAAAAAGATTTCAGTCCCATTGCATTTAATTAAAGTAATGACGAATAGAGACAGTGTGGTTGTAGAAAATTTAAACATTTTAATAAATACAATTTGATGTAATATACACCATTATGAGTATACAACTACAACAAGCATACCAAGACATCTGAAATACAAAAAACTGACAATTAGTCGCTTTCAAAGCTTCAGTTTTTTGGAAGAGTGGGAGTGAGGTGGAGTTACAATACATACATTCTTGCTAGTGTTTGTGCCAAAAAAAGCAGAGCTTTCAGAGAAGTGATCAGAGTCATATTCTTTATCCAAGTGAAACAAGTGGAATATTGAGGTACTGAGTTGTCTGTATCTAAAAATGAGCACTCTTCAAACAAACTGCCGTTTATGAGTTCATTAAGTAGACCTACATCTCTCCGGAAGACCCAGAGTTGTCTTGCTCTATTGCAGATGATATTATGTTTGCAAATGGTAGACGACTCAAACGGGCTGGAGAAATCAGTCAATCATTAGCCTGGTCCAGTCTGGCTCCCGGCTCTGTGTGGTCACCCCACCCTCTGCCCCCCGTCACCATAGACTGTTCATGAGCCCTTCCCTACAGGAGGATCTTCGAGTGACGTCGCTGGTTTTAGTTTTTCCGCGTCGGTCACGTGACAGTACAGTCACGAAGTGAAAGCTACCTGGATGATAGAGAGTTAGCTGTTTTAGATGTTTGTAGAGAGGTTTTACTAAATCAAATGGTCCGTTCTTGTTTTGTGGTCAGTTGTGCTGGGGACAGATTACGTTTTTTGTCTTATTCTTTCGGAAAAGAACAGCGAAAAACGGCCGTGATAAAGTGGTTGCTCTTTTATGCTGTTACTGTAATGTGATGGCTCTATTTTATGTGTAATGTTATTGAAGCAGTGATGTGGCTGAGGGATATAAAAGCTGCTTCCGGTTTAACACATGTGTTCTGACGCTGTACGACTGATGCATGACCAGTGTTATGTTCGACATTAAAGCCGATAAACTTATTGGTGTTCCTCCTGACTTTGCATAACACTACATGGTGTCAGAAGACGTCTAAAGATGGCGAAGTTCCCACCTCCCGAAGCTTTTGATTTTTCGAGACCAGAGCACTGGCCCGAGTGGCGCCAGCGGTTTCAACGCTACAGAACGGCGACGAAGCTCTCCCTAGAGGATGGTGATGTACAGGTCTCTACGCTATTGTATTCGCTGGGAAAAGAAGCGGAACAGGTGTATAAGACATTCAACTTCGAGGAAGAGGATGATGAGAACGATTTTGATGTTGTTTTGGAGAAACTAGACAACTATTTTGTGCCCAAAGTCAACACAATTCATGAAAGAGCTCGGTTTCATCAGCGCACACAAAGAACCGGAGAGACGGCGGAGGGATACATCCGTACACTGCACGAGTTGGCAGACACCTGCGCTTTTGGCGAGGTAAAAGAGGAGAATATCCGTGACAGATTGGTTATAGGAATTCTGGATAAAGATTTGTCCGAGAAGCTGCAAATGATGCCTGATTTAACCCTGAACAGAGCCGTGGAGCTCGTGAGGCAGTCTGAGCAAGTTAAACAACACGTTAGCGAACAAGGTGCTAACGGCAGCACTCAATTGAGTGAAGTAGCTAAGCGCCAGCCCTACAGGAATAAACAGAAGTCGAATGAAGGCTACTCAAACAAAGCACAGTGGTCAGGTGGTAAAGATAAACCACATCAAAACGTGAGTAAAGGTCCCAAATGTACTAGATGCGGCCGTATGCACGGAAAGAATGATAATTGCCCTGCACGTAATGCAGAATGCAGGAGCTGTAAGAAGCTGGGACATTTTGCGGTAGTTTGTCGCTCCCGTGTGGTCAACGAGGTAACTGCACCCAAACAAGAGAAGGACAGCAGTTCAACTTATTTTCTGGGAGGAATCACTGATGTGGAGGATTCTACGAATGCATGGACAGTTAAATTGCCAATACAAGGTACACATCTGACATTTAAGATTGATTCAGGGGCTGACACAAGTGTTATATCAGAAGAGACATTTAGCAAGCTCGCTTATAAGCCAAATCTGAGAAAAGCAACAAATAAGCTGGAAAGCCCTGTAGGTAAACTAAACTGTCTGGGCTATTTCATAGCAACAACAACTAGAAATGACAAGAGGTTCAGATTTAAACTAAATGTGATAAGAGGTCATCAAAACAGCCACCTCTTAAGTCGCAATGCAGCGGCTGCCATGGGTTTGATAAAGCGCATGGAAGAAATTAAGGCTTCTGTACAAGTTATTGACTCTTGCCCCAACGACATTGGCAAATTAAAAATAAAGCCAATCAAAATCACTCTCAGGGAGGACGCGGTTCCCTACAGTGTGACAACTGCAAGGAGAGTGTCAGTGCCAATGCTGCCCAAAGTAAAAAAAGAGTTGGATCGCATGGTGAAGTGTGGCGTGATTGAACCAATATCGGAACCAACTGAGTGGTGTGCCCCTATGGTTCCTGTGCCAAAGAAGAACAAAGAACAAACAAGGATCTGTGTCGACCTGAAAGAGCTGAATAAAGCTGTAAAAAGAGAAAAATATGTTTTACCGACAGTGGATGATATTTTGCCCAAACTAGCAGGCGCTAAAGTGTTTTCCCTGCTCGATGCTGCAAGTGAATTTTGGCAAATACCACTAGATCCAAACAGTGCGAAGTTAACCACTTTCATAACCCCATTCGGCAGGTACTTCTTCAACAGGCTGCCGTTTGGGATCACCAGCGCTCCGGAAATCTTTCAGCGGGAGATGACAGAAATTTTGAAAGGACTCGAGGGTGTGGCCGTCTATATGGACGATATCCTGATCTTTTCAAACACATCAGAGGAACATGAGGCGAGACTCAAAGACTCTGAGCACACTTAAGGTGGAAGGTTT